TTCTTTATTTATTATTTGATTTTTCGTCTCTCATCTCTATTTTTAGAAGAGGGGGGGAAAACTTTAAGAACTGTCACTTTATGATTGGAAAATAAATAGAAAAAGTGGCAAAAAAAATTAGTTTGGAATTTTTATCGAATACAGAATGGAAATTCCCAGAAATAATTGGTAATGTATGTATGTATAATATCTATGTGAAAAATTGTATCTGCCTGGCGCCAAGTGAGCGCATCACGAGTAAAATTATTTTCTCTTTGATGGTGATTTTTTGATTGAAACAAAACTTGTCGGTTGTTATCGGATTGTGTGTGCTTTTTTTTCTCTCTTTATTTTTCTATTGCAAAACGTTGTAATAACGCCGAAGGTAATAACGCCTATTTATAATTACACTTCACAGGTCAGTTTCTAAATAGAATTGTTATCGTGTAATTCATCAAATAAGAATCGCGCATAGGCGCATAAGCCATATCAACGAGGTGTTAAGCCATGTGGCGTGCAATTATTTATAAGCATGAAAAATTAAAAATAACTAACGACTATTATTATATTTCACGTTTATTTCTTGCACTTTTTTTTTAAATCTGATTATTATTAGACTATACAATTTTCTTCTTGTTTTCTGTTATATCAATTATTATATTATTCTACGGTTAAAATCAATTATTATCGAAATATTAACACACAATATATCGAATCAATTTTCAAAGAATTGCGTTTACAATTTTCATAAGTAGATGAACTTTAAAAGATTTTGATTTAAAATTTTGTATAATTTCAATTTTAAATGAATTTAATTAAAAATATAAAAAAACTTAGATTTAAAAAAAAATTTTTTTAACTAAAATTCTTCTGAAAATAATTTTTAATATATATTTAACTAGTTTTATTAAAAAATAATGGATTTATAGAAGAATTTTAATTAAAAGCACAAAAACAAATTGAATTTTAAAGCAATTACAATTGATTGCAGAAATTCAATTATTTTCAAAAGTAGTAAAATTCTTCTCAGAAATTCAATTATTTTCGAAAAATTTTAATTATATTCAAAAACTTTCCTCAATTTAATGATTTTTAATATCTAGTACTTTAATAAAAATTACTAAAAGAATTAAATTATTTTCATATATTATTCAATTATTTTCATAAATAATATTTTTTACAGGGATTCAATTATTTTCGCATGAATAATAAAACTCAATGATGAATTTCAATTATTTTTAAATAAAATTTTAATGAAATTTCTCGAAAAAATTTATTATTCTTAAAAATTTTATTAAAATTTATCAAAGAAATTTAATTATTTTAATAATCTTTGCTACAATTTATTTATTAGAATTAAAGTATTATTTGCAATAAATTTTTAATTAAATTTCTTAAAAGAATAAAATTATTTTCAAAAATTTTAATGCAATTCTTTGCGTAACAATTCAATTTTTTCAAAATAATTTTAATAAAATTCTTCGCAGAAATTTAATTAAGTTCAAAAATTTACAAAAATTATCGTTAAGATTTCAATTATCTTTGTAAATAATAAAATTCTTCTCCGAAATTAAATTATTTTCAAAAATATTAAAATTCTTCGAAGAAATTCAATTATTTTCAAAAATAATAAAATTCTTCGAAGAAATTAAATTATTTTTAAAAATTTTAACGAATATCTCGTTCAGAATTCAATTATCTTTATAAATAATAGCAAAATTTTTCGCAAAAAATTCAATATTATTTTCAAAAATTTAAATAAAATTCTTTAAAAATTTCAATTATATTCAAAAATTTACCGTAATTTATAATGAATTTAAAATTTTTAATATTTTAGAAATTCTAGTCAAGAATTAAATTATTGTCAAAAATTTTAATAAAATTCTTAGCAAAATTTCAACTATTTGAAAAAAATTTAATAAAATTCTTTGCATGAATTCAATTATTTTTATAAATTATTATTCAAATTCTTCACAGGAATTCAATTATTTTTAAAAATTCACAAAATTTCTTGTCATAGTTTCAATTATCTTTATAGACAATAAAATTTTTCTCCGAAATTCAATTATTTTCAAAAATTTTAATAAAATTCATGACAAAATTTCAATTACTTTCAAAAAATTTCCTTAAATCAATGATGTTCAATATCTACTATTTTTATAAAATTTTCCAAAGGAATTCAATTGCTTAATAAAAATTTTAATAAAATTCTACGCAAAAATTTAATTATTTTCATAAATATTAAAACTAATCATAGGATTTCAATTGTTTTGAATATAATTTAAAATAAATTCCTTTAAAAAATGTAAGTATATAAAAATTTTATCAAATTCTTTGAAAGAATTCAATTATTTAAAAAAATTTTGATATAATTTGTTTATTAGAATTTAATATTTATTTTTATGAATTTTAATGAAATTCTTCATAAGAATTCAATTTTCAAAAAATTTGAATAAATTTCTTCTTTGAAATATAATTAATTTAAGAAATTTTGCGAAGTTTAATTATTTTCAATATCCTATGCAATTTCACTAAAATTTCACAAAAGAATTCAATTATCTTCATAAGTTATAAAGTTCTTGGAAAAAATTCAATTATTTTCAAAAACTCTTATAATATTCTTTTAAAAAATTCAATTATAAAGTTCGTTTTTCAAAATTCCATTAGTTTTAAAAATTTTAATAAAATTCTTTGAAAAATTTCAATTATTTTCAAAAGTAATAAAATTCAATTATTTCGAAGAATTTTTCTTAATTTCAATTATTTTCAATATTTCTCTAAATCTTTGAAAATTTGAACTTTTCATATTTTTAATTAAGAATTCTATAGAATTAATTTTTCCCAATGAGTTCAATGGAATTTTTTTTAATTATTTGAAGTTTTTAATTTCTAATATATTTAATTGAAGAATGTCATAGAATAATCGAAATTTCGTTAAATTAAATTGTAAACAAAAGAATTTGAAAATTCACAAAGAACTTTTAAAAAAAATTTATGTTTTCGAATAATTTATGTAAACAAAAATATTTTTATTTTTAATATTATTTTTTTTTTTAATAACCTGAAAAAATTCCAGCTCTTTAACCTGAAAAATCTGAAAAAGTCAGGGATTTTGAAAAGAGTAAAAGCGTGAAAACCATTGAAAAAAAAGGAAAGAAGAAATAATTCAGTCAAATTGCTTGATAAGATTAAAAAAAAATTTCTCAGATTGCATTCCAACTTTGATGCATCTTCATTTGCTTGTAAGTACATTGAAGATATATAAGTTGGAAGAGCAATGGCGATAAAGTTATTTTAAGAACTTTTCAATGCCTAAAGTCCATGACCTTGTCAGGTGTCAGTGGCAATGTACTAAAGGCGTCGGGACGCCTCATGGAAAATGTGCCGACCGCATGTTCCAAAAAGCCTTAAGTGACGCACCGAGTGACGTTTCATTAGCGCTCACCAAGATATAGACTGTTAAGTGCAATTTACAATAGACTTAAATACGTTCATAAAATATTTTCAAACCAACTCTCTAAGAAAACCTGATGGATTATTGCCGTCACTCCCTTATTATATATCTGAAAAAAAGAACGAAAAACCTTTCTTCCTTTTTTTTTTGAAAAATAAAATTTAAATTACTAATTAATTTAAATAGAAAATTATTTTTTCTTCCATCTTAAATTAGAATCGTTAATGAAAACAAAATAATGTAATGATTTTAAGAAAATAAATATCTGTATACAAGTTTTCTTAATTTCTTGTAAGTCGTTTTTTCTCGAAAAATATTTTATTGTCGCAATTTTCAGCATGTCGATGTTAAAATGCGTTCGTAAAACGTTGTTGTTGTTTTCTAAGGAAGGAGATGTAGTATTAACGCAGCATGCTGCTTGCAACTTTCAATGATGGTATTGGTGGCACTGAAATTGAAATAACGCAAAAATTGTGTGGCAACATTAAAATCGGATCGTTATTTCAGCCACTACTATAGTCATGAAACTTTAACATGCTCCTCTTTTAAATAACTCCCCTCCCCCTGAGCCATATCAAGATGTAGTTAAAGGCTTTAGAGTTGTTTGGAATTCAAATTATTCGGATTTAACTTTTGATTGGTGTAAGTCTCATTCGTAAATTCAAACTTTTTTTATTTAAGAATAACTACAGTTGTTTAGAATTTAATTGCCAAATGCACTTTATTGTCATCTATATTAATAAAATTGAAAATTTATCAATACAATGCTAATAATTAATTTCAGAATTTTGAATAACAAAGAATTCAGAATTGAGAATAAAAAAATTCCTATACCTTCTGCATAAAACAGTTAAAATTTTATTTGTTCTTCTATTTATATTCTGAACTTGTGTAGCTATTTTTCTGTGCAATCCTATATTTTATTTCGTGATGATGATGATTTACAAAAGTTGCAAGGGAATATCTTGATGAAGGTACATACACATATTATCTTGTATATAGCATTGATTTCTTAATGAAATAGTAAATACTAAGTTAATTAGAAAAAAAATAATAAAACACATTTCTGCCGATTCTCATTAACGTCCTATGGCTTTTCAATTCAACGTTACAACGAAGACTCTAAAGGCGGATCGATTTATCTTAGCCCACGGGTTTCGCAGAAAGATCGAATGAATACGAGAAAAATCGTTATACAGTCACTGCAATCACAAAGATGTAAGATTCTCCTCCTTTAGCTCTGAAATTCCGTATAGCAATCGTTAGCGTTATTTTCAAATTACAAAGAATTTTTTTAACTCCGAGAGAATTTGTTTACTTCTTAGCAGTAGCACGGTGGGATTTTTTTCAATTAGTTTATTGTCTTTTCACTATCAACATTCTGCTTATTAATTTTTTTTCTAATTTTTATTTATAAAAAAAAATATTAAATGATATCGAATTAGTCAAAAGTCTAAACAAATAGTTATTATTGTCGATTTGAGAATTTTTCTGTTTGATACAAAAATCAGTTAAAAATAAATTCCTAGCTTTTACAAATAAAAACACAAAACTGTAACGACGATATAAAATTATATTTATTATTCAATATTATTACATTACATTCTGTGGAGTTAGGACATTTTGCTACTTGCAGAAAATTTACAAAGCAGGTTTCCTGCAAGCTTACATGTTAACTAGGTACAAGACACAATTTTTTTCTTTGCTCTTTAATAAGATCTGCTTCTTGAAGTTTAGGAGAAGTTTTATTTTTACTTAATACTAAATAATTTTCTGTTGACGAATCATCACCATTTGAAGTGGTTTCTTTGGTAGCAACAAATCGAAATTTTTCACATTGCAAAAAAATTGTATTGTTTTTAAGAATCGAATAGATTTTGTTAGACAAATCAGCATCATTGAATGTAATCTTTGGAATTTGAGAGTAAAGAGCATCTGATTCTTTAAACATTCGAGTTTCATTATACTTATAATCATTGTACTGCATTAAATATAATTTAAGAAGCCAACCACTTGTGTTTATCAAATATTTCATAATAAGATTTTTTTCATTGTTAACCATTCCTTTCATATTGAAAACATAGACAGATTTCTGATCAGTAACTTTTATCATATCATCAATATAATTTATTTTTAAAAAGCAAAAGAATTTGAGAAATTTAAAAATTTCTCTATTACTACAAAGAGAATATAAATTCGTATTATCCGTATCATTTATTGATATAATGTCGCTATAAGCATAATATAAAAGATCATTGAAGTACGCAATATTAACTAAATTAGTCATACTAAAATCTATATCGGTTCTATTATTTAATTTTCTCGAATATAAGCACGACAAATCAGTAAATAAATAGTTTCTGTCAAAAGAAATTTGTTGTTTTTTCAAAAAGTTACGAAATTCCTGAAAGTATGTAATGTTACCATGGCTTCTATAATGTTGATCGTAATTATTCACAAATTGTGTCAAATCATTGTAAATGAAAGCATATAAAGTAAAATATTTTGGAAAGCGGTTAAAAAAATCTTGATGAACTTTAATTAAATATGCGGGATTTATAAAGCGCGTCTCACTGTTTCCTGAAGATATGTCACGATAATCGAGTAGCGCAGGAATAACCGAATCATAATCATTAATACAACTTGATTCATTACGAGAAAAATAATTCCTAGAGTTTACAAAATAAAATACAACATTTAAATAATCTTTAATCATGTTGTATTCAAAATAGCCAATCAATGGGTTTTCTTGTCTGTTGATAGTCGTTGGGTAGACATAATAATGAGTATCATTGGATTGAACCAAATAAATATGTTTCATTATGAAATCGTACAAAAACTGTTCTGAATAATGAAGATCTTCTCGTTTTACTTTCGGTTCTACTCTACTAGCTCTTATTTGGTTAACAGTTCTAATTCCTTCTCTCATACTCTCTGTCACGATTATCACTAATCTCTTGAATTTCACCGCAAGAAGTAGATCATCAATTGTTTTCCAATGTTTGTAAATTGTACAGGTTGAAGAGAACATAAGGTCATCATTGTAATTAGTATTTGCACCCTGTAAATAACGAATATTCAGAATTAAAATTTCAAAATTTTAAAAATTGTGGAACTTACCCCATATTAAATTTTTTGAAATGTTTAGAAAATTTTGAAAAATCCTTTGGTACATTTATTTTTTTCTATCAAATATAACAATTTCACCAAATTACAGATTAATCCGAAGACCCCATGCAAATTGTAATATTTCTGACCGAGTCTTACCCAGCAAAAACCCAAATATTTGAGTAATTAAAAAAATAGTTTTAAATAACACAAATCTTTTGTAAAATAAATTAATTTATTAGGTTCAATCAATTATTTACTTCAAGCAATTAAGATTTGTCATTTAAATAATTGTACTTTAAATAATTCAGGTTTTAAAAAGCAAAGTACAAAATGTTTAGATCTAAATTAAAAATAATTGAGTCTGGTAAATCTTTTCCAAATAGTTTGCATTTATTGAAGTAAATAAATTTTGTTTTCAGTGCACATTTTCTACTACTTTGCCATTTATTCCTTCTACATACTGATGCATAAAATGTTTTATTTTGAAAAATGCAATTTAAAACTTACCAGAGAATCCTTAACAATATTATATGTAATATTCATTACATTTCTCCAATTGTTGCTTGAATATAGCATTCTCCGTTTAAGAACATAAAGTAAGGAAAAAATGGAATTGTTTTTAAAAAAATATTCTTTTTTATACAAAAATATCACTCTGTTAAACCAAGATAGTTTGCCTATCAATGATTTTGCAACATATTCTTTTAGGGCTTCTATCCACGCTGCTGTGTTGTGAGATGTAACTTCTGATATTCCTGTTATAAAACAAAATAATTTAAATGTGCCTATTTTGTGTTCATTTTCACAAAGACCGCCAAATGAATTATCATTGCTTTTCAATGAAGATATAGTGTTATTGATCCAATTCAAATAATCAATGCTGACCATAACATCTTTTACACCGCTAACATAACTCAAAAATTGATCTTCTGTCACTTCGAAATTTCTAGACTGAAAGCAAGTTAAGCTTCTTTCTACAGTACTTCTTTTTTTAATTTTTTCTATACTCTTGCTTTTGCTTTGAATTTGCTTCAGTAATAAGTTAAAACGCAAATAGGAATTTAAACTTTGAGAATTTAAGTTGAATCCCATCGAAGCACAAATGTTGTCATTATCGAATGCATTAAAAGATAAGTTTTTTGTTTTTTGTTCTTTGAATAATTGTTTACGTAACTGGAATAATTCTGCGAAGCTCTCACCCTTCTGTAGTTTTTCCTTTACATAATTTACAAGAGGGCAATTGGTGCAGCTTGGTTCCAATGGAATTAAAATATCTTCATAGAAAGAAGACTCTTTCTTTACATTAACAAAATCAAAGGTTATGCCTAAATTGTCCTTTAATAACTTCTTTTGGGAATATATGGTCAATAAATGGTCTTGAAAGTCTACTGGATAAATAAAATAATATGTGTCGTTCGCTTGTAGTAAATAAATATTTCCCAATATAGTTTGATGTAACTGCCTATAATAAGGGTTGTACATGATCCAATAATTATTTAATACTCTTTTGCTCGCACTTAAATTTCTAACTCTGTTTATACCGTCAATGAATTTTTCTGCTATAATTACTACCAACGGCTTGTACTTTCTTTCAAAAAGCACAGAATCAATTATTTTAGAGTTATCATAAATGGAACAGATATCATTTTCAAACGTGAGTGATTTAATTTCCGTTTCTTCTACCTGTAAAATACTCATTTTGAGAAACATTCTCTTTAAGATGTATCCTTAGAGTAAAAAATATCAACTCATTTTTTATATATTTCTTTTATAATATATAACGTTAATGAGTCACTTCTTCTAAAACATATTTTCTAATATTTCTTTTTCCTAAAGAAATCCATTTATAAAAAATTGCATTTATATACAATGCTCTAGAAACTTCTAATTTATAAAATTAATTTCTGTAAACACATTTATTTTGTAATACATAAATTATTATTTGTAAATTTGTCAGAATAAAAAGTTACTAAATCGATTTGAAATTTATTCTGCGTTCATTTTCGTTATTTTTTCGTTCATTGGAAAAATAATTTGAATGTACACTTATACGAATTAAAAAAGTTGTTCATTTCGTTATCAGTTAGCTTCTTCATTATGTTAAACAAATATTTTTGTGTGAAAAAAAATTTCAAAGATCAAATTTGTTGACAAAACATACATTGTTTCATAGAATGTGTTAAGCTAATAATTTACATTTTGTTGAAAAATATTAGTAATAACTACTCTAATATTATTAAGTAGCAAACTATACTGTCTAGTTTACTCTATTTCCTAAAAAAGCAAATAAATAATTTTCGTTCATTTGAACCATAAGGGAAATTTTTATTGGAAATAGCAATAATTAGAAATTGATTCTCATTAGAAAAGAAAAATTAGAAAATAAATTTTATTAGAAAACTAATTAGAAATTGAACTTCATTACAAAAATAACATTAGTAACTGAATTTTTTAGAAATTAAAGAGTACATTAGAAATACATTAGAAAATTATATATTGAAAAATAGTTTTTATAGAAAAACTGTACGCCAATCGTAACAGTATTCACAAAATGTTATCGTTTTGTATATTTCTTAAAAAAGACAAATATTAACGTTTCACGATTCCTTGATAAATATTCTTTTGTAAATTTACAGAAAATTATTAAATTTTCAACAAATTTTTTTATCGTTTTTTCATTTTTTAACATTAAATATTATCATTTATGAAAAATTCAAGTAACAGATATATAAAATTATGACATTATTTATAAAAAAATATTTTTAAATTATTTCAAATTAATTTATAAAAAGCAGTATTATTGTTAATTTCTGAAACTATTATTATATACTAGATTAATAAAATAATTTGACACCTCCCGTTGATAAAATCTTATTTCAATTGTTTTATGTATTCTAGGATAATCTTCCAAGCCCCTACATTGAGAAAACGATTCATTTGATTCAAATAAATTTTGTTTAAATCAATCTTAAAATATCTTTGCTATACAGTAAAGTATATTTCAGTTTAATTCAAACATGTTTTTCGATTCATTTACAGAAATAATATATTGAATTTAAACATAAGTTATGGTTGATTTTAAATTATTTATAACCACTTTTTAAGTTTGAAGCAAACATAAAATTTTTAAACATATTTTTTGTTTCAACCAAAACAGAATATTTGTTTTAATTAAACATAATAATTCAAACAAAATAATATTTTTGATTCAAATTTTACAGCTAATTTTAATAATTTATTTTATTATTTTTATTTAGGATTTTATTTCAGTAATAATTATTAACAATTAAAAAATGCAAAACATTACAAACGAATTTTATTATTTTGACAATTAAAATAGGCTTTTATCAACGGGATGCGTTGAATTGTAATAATAAACAATATATTTTTGTAATCTCAAAAAATCGAGACTATCATTAGTTTTTGTTTTAATTTTCAACAAAAAAAGTACAATACAAAAATGAAAATAATGAATAAATAATTTAAATAAATTCTTCTCTTCTTATACTTACATTGTTTTCTCCATAAATTGAAATTTGGCCAGCCATCAATAAAAAAATCAAAGTAAGCGTTATCGAAAATGTACTTTGAGAATGCATTTTTGGTTTTTTCATGAATATACTTTCTTTCAACACTTGCACTGATATAGCATTAAAATCGAAAAATGCATGTTTACATACGTAAAAAATCATAAAATATAATCAATTTTTTTAACAACTTTAATTTTATGTGATTTTTTACTTTTAAATTTTAATCTATACAACTTGTTTTGAGCTTTTCAAAAACTTATTTGAAACAAAAAGAAGTAAATAGTTTATTAATTTTTTTATTAATTATTTATTAGTATATTATTAATATTTAGATAATTAATGGTATGAATAATTGATTTTAAATCAAATTAAATTAGGTAATTTAAATTGATTAAAATTATTGTCTATTTATACTATTATTAATTAGTTAATAATTTTTTAATTGAAACTCGAAATTTTCGATAATCAAAATTTATAAATTTACTCTTAATTTCTATTTTTCAAGGCCTTTTTTTATATGCTTTTTCAGTTTTTAAAAATCAATAATGAAATTGATTTTGAAAAATAAAAATGAAACAAAAAAATGGTAAAATATTAAAAGAAATTATCATTTTTTTTTTGTATTTTTTAATTCATGTGTATTATAGGTTCTGAAAAATGCCAAAGAATTTTCAGTGCTAAACGTGGTCAATTTTGATTGGCTCAAAATTTTACTGTAGTGATTATTTTAAAATTCAACATCTATTATCTTTCATATTTTTCAATGTTAAATTTAATAAATTTTTTTATTATTCTGAACAATCAGTCGCATAAATTGTATGAATTTTGAAAAAAGTTAATATTTTAAAAAAATAAAATTTATATTCGGTTAATGAAAATATTCGAAATATTTTATAATAATACAAAATTATTTTACTTTTTATTTATTTATTATTATTTCAAACATTTTATACAATTTGTTGCTTAAAATTAATCATTTTGTCTTAAAAAAATTTCATTTGAAAAATAATAGAAATCCTTTATTTTAAAAATTTTTTTTGTTTGTCAAAAAACGTCTAACATTTTTAAATTTAAAAGATTCCATTATAGTACCTAATACTATTTTTTTAAACCATTAATGGGCTTGGTTTAGAAGAAAATTATTAAAAATTTCCACTAATCTTTAGTAGGCTACATTTCACTCATATAAAATTAGAGAAATACATGTTATTAGGATACAAGATTTTTAGAAAAGAATCTTATTTTCTCTTATTATTAAATAGATATTTTAACAAAGAATCACCATTTAAGGTTGATTTTAATGAATTTTAATGTAATTCAAATCAAATAGATGCTAATTCTTTACATTTCATAGACATCGTGATGTTTTTAAAAATCGAATAAATTTTGTTAGACAAATCAGTACCATTGAAGGTAATTTTTGGTATTTGTGAGTAAAAAGCGTCTGTTTCTTTAATCATTCGAGTTTCATTATACTTATAATCAATGTAATCCATTGATAGTAATTTTTGTATCCATGCCATCGTTTTTAACAAATATTTGGTAATAATATTCTTCTCATTTGCAGCAATACTTCTCATAGAGCTGATTGTATCAGATTCCTGACCAATAACTCTTGACATATCATCAATATAATTTATTTTCAAAAAACAAAAGAATTTAAGAAATTTAAAACTTTGTTTATTACTACAAAGGGATTTTAAATTTGTTTTGTTTCCGTCATTTATTGATGTTATGTTTTTATAAGCAGAATTTGTTAAAGAATAAAATTCGAAGACATTAGAATATTTAGTAATATTAAAATTAATGTGAGTTTTATTATTTAATTTCCGGAATAATAGGCACGGTAAACCTCTAAATAAATATTTTGTGTCATAGGAAACTTCTTTCTTATTCAAAAATACATAAAATTTCTGAGAATATTTACGGTAGGAGATAGTGTTTTTGACAAGTGAATCGTCATTATTTATAAATTCTGTCAAGTTATTGTAAAAGGAAGCATATAAAGAAAGATATTTTGGATAGCGTTCAACAAATACTTGATGTACTTTCATTAAATATGTGGGATTAATAAATCGCGTTATACATTTTTCAGATGTTAGGTTACAAAAATCTGGTAGTGCAGGAATAACCAAATTATTGTTATCAAATCTAATTCGTTCATCTAAAGAAAAATAATTCGAAGAGTTAACAAAATAAAATACAACATTTGAATAATCTTTAATCATTTTGTATTCAACGTAGCTAATCAGTGAATCGCGATGTCTGTCGGCAGTCATTGGGTAGACATAATAATAAGTATCATACGATTGAACCAAATAAATATGTTTCATTATGAAATCGTACAAAAACTGTTTTGAATAATGAAGATCTTCTCGCATAACTTTCGGTACTACTCTGTTACCTCTTATTTGTTTAGCAATTCTGATCCCTTGTTTCATGTCATCTACCACGATTATCACTAATCTCTTGAATTTCACCTCAAGAAGTAGATCATCAACTATTTCCCAATATTTGTAAATAAAGCAGATTGAAAAGTACACATGGTCATAATTGTAATTAGTATTTACACTCTGTAAACAACAAATATATAGAATTACATTTTTTGGTAGAGTATTTTTTATAGTTCGTTTAGTACTTCAGGTAGTTTAAATGATCCACAAAATGTTATAATGTGTACATTACAGATTACAAACTTACCAATGACTTCATAAAATGCTGATAAGTCATATTCATCACATCCTTCCAATTTGCAGTTACATTTAGCATTTCCTGGTTAAGATTAGCAAGCGCGGAATAGGTTCGATTTTTGTACATAGTATATTCATTTGTATACAAAATTTTTAAGCTGTTAAACCATTTTAGTTTGCTTGTCAATGGTTTTACAACATGTTCTTTTAGGGCTTCTATCCACGCTCTTTTGTTGTGAGATGTAACATCTGATATTTTGTTCATAAAACAAAATAATTCAAGTATTTCTATTTTGTGTTTAGTTTCACAAAGACTGCCAAAGGAATTGTCATTACTTTTCAATGAAAGTATGGTGTTATTTATCCAATTTAGATAGTCAATCACAATCATACGATCTTTAATATGAAGTTCATTTCTAATATCTCCGAAAACTACATCTTCTGTTACTTCCAGATATCTTGACTGAAAGCAAATTAAGCTTCTTTTTTTACTTTTTTCTATACTCTTGCTATTGATTTGGATTTGTTTTAGTAATGAGTTAAAGTGCAGTAAAGAACTCATGCTTTGAGAATTTATGTTAAACCCAATCGAATCACAAATATCATAATCGTTGACTGCCGTGAAGGATAAGTTTTTCGTTTCTTTTTTTCTAAATAATTTTTTTCGCAACTCGAATAATTCCGAGAAGCTTTCACCTTTTCGTAGTTTTTCATTTACATATTTTACAAGAGCGCAATTGGTGCAGCTTGGTTCCAATGGAATTAAAATATCTTCATAGAAAGGAGACTCTTTCTTTACATTAACAAAATCAAAAGTAATACCTAAATTGTTATGTAATAACTTCCATTGGAAATATATAGTCAAAAAATGGTCTTGAAAGTCTACTGGATAAATAAAATAATACGTGTCGTTGACTTCAAATAGATAAATATTTTGTAATATAACGTCATAGAATTGACTGTAATAATTACTGTCTTTGATCCCATCATCATTTAATATTCTTTTACTGTCACTTAAATTTCTAACTCTGTTTATACCGTCAATAAATTGATCTGCTATGATTAGTACTAATGGCTTGTAATTTCTTCCGAATAACATATAATCAATTACTGATAAATTATCATAAAGGGAACAGATATCATTTTTAAACGTGAATGGCTTGATTTTCGATTCTTTTATCTGTAAAATATTTATACTAAAAAATATTTTCAAATTTTTTGGATCTATCCTTTGAGTAAAAATATCGATTCATTTATATGATTTACTATTTTTTTATAACATGTAACAATAGGGAGTCATTTTTTCTAAACCTTTTTTGCAATAGGTTTTTTTTCTAAATAAATGTTATTTTTTAAAAATTAATTAAATAAAAAAATTCGAATTAGAGAATAAGTAGAAATAATTTTATAAATGTCTTTTATTAGAAGAAACAATAATTAGTTATTAATCCTTATTAAAAATGCAAAAAGTAAAAAAAAACGTTTTAAAAAAATCATTATTAGAAGAATGTTATTGGAAAAAGAAAATTAAAAAATTAAATTATTAAGAAATACAAATATTAAAAATAATATTCGAAAATATTTGTTTGAAAAAGTTTACTCCAATCGCAATGTTAGAAAATCATAAAAAGTTATCATTGTTTTATTTCTACAGAAAATTTATAGAAAAATATTATATAATTTTTAACAATTTTTTTGCGTTTTTAATTATGAAAATATAATAACTATTGGTAAAAATTGTAATTATAATATTACAATAATATGATTTTTAATTAATAATAATAAAGTACAAGTGTCCTACAATACGTTGATTCTTATTAAAATTTTATTTTACTTCTTTTCATAAATAAAAATTATTTAAAGATTATCACTGGTGAAATGACACATACAATAAGTCAAGTTATTCAATGAAATAATTAAAAATAGGTATACGCGCCGATAGCATAGTGGTTAGACCGTTAGACTACGAGTCTGTATGTCGTAGGTTCGACAAAGTGTGATAGTGATAGTGATAGTTTTGTCAATAAATTATCAAAATAACTATCGTATTTTATTTTTAAAGATTGTTTTACAGTGCAAATATTCTTTGTTTGCTTAGAAACTAAAAATAAGTAACTTATTTAATTTAAATTATTTTTGGGCAAACTTACCCGACTCTCCTCTACATTGTCTTCGTCAAAAATAGAAATTTTTCCAACGAGCAATAACAGAATCAAACCAAATGCTGTTAAAAATTTTCCTCGATAGTCCATGTTTCGTTTTCTTTCGAATATACTTTCTTTTAACACTTGTACTGATATACTGTTGAAATAGAGAAATGCTTGCTTATGTACATGAAAATTGTATCATAAAATGTAATCAATTTTTTAACAACTTTTTTACTTTTAATCTCTAAAACTTCTTTTGCGCTTCACGAAAATTCATGATTTATTTGCCATTTTTTATATCCTTGTTTTATAGTTTTGAACAAAGATTAAAAAAATTGATTTTAAAAAGTTTCAATTTTTTCAAAAGTTTTCGCAAATAAAAATGCAAAGATGTAACGATATAAAATTATATTTATTATTCATTATTATTACATTACATTTTGCAACTTACAGAAAATGTACAATGCAGGTTTCTTGCAAGCTTACATGTTAACTGGGTACAAGACACAATTTTTTTCTTTGCTCTTTAATAAGATCTGTTTCTTGAAATTTAGGAGAAGTTTTATTTTCACTTAAAACTAAATAGTTTTCTGTTGACGCATTATCTACATTTGGGGTGATTTCTTCAGAAACAGCAAAACCTAATTCCTGACATTGCAAAAAAATTGTATTGTTTTTAAAAATGTAATAGATTTTGTTATACAAATCAGTACCATTTACAGTAATTTTTGGTATTACCGAGTAAAGAGCGTCTGATTCTTTAATCATTCGAGTTCCATTATACTTATAATCAATATAATCCATTGATAGTAATTTCTCTATCCAACCCATCGATTTTAACAAATATTTGATACTAACATTTTTCTCTTTTACAACAATACTTTTCATATGGTAAACTTTTAAAGAATTCTGATTAATAACTTTTAGCATGTCTTCAATATAATTTATCTTTAAAAAACAAAAGAATTTAAGAAATTTAAAAACATTCTTATTATTACAAAGAAAATATAAATTAGTATTGTCTCCGTTATTTATTGAGGTTAAATTTCTATGAACAGAAGATAGCAAATTATAAAATTTAAAAACATCGACATATTTGGACATACTGAAATCAATATCGATTCTGTTATTTAATTCCCAAAATGATAAGCACGGCACATCAGTAAATAAATCATTTAGGTAAAAAGAAATTTTTTGTTGTTTTAAAAAGTCTTGAAATTCCTGAAAGTATGTAATGTTACCATGGCTTCTATAATGTTGATCGTAATTATTCACAAATTCTGTAAAATCATTGTAAACGGACGCATATATAGGAAAATATTCTGGAAAGCGGATAAAAAAATCTTGATGAACTTTAATTAAATGTGAGGGATTTATAAAGCGCGTCTGTATGTTTCCTGAGGAAATGTCACGATAATCGAGTAGCGCAGGAATAACCGAATCATAATAATTAATACAACTTGATTCATTACGAGAAAAATAATTCCTAGAGTTTATAAAATAAAATACAACATTTGAATAATCTTTAATCATTTTGTATTCGAAATAGCCAATCAATGGGTTTTCTTGTCTGATGGTAGTCGTTGGGTAGACGTAATAATAAGTATCATTAGATTTAACCAAATAAATATGTTTCATTATGAAATCGTACAAAAACTGTTCAGAATAATGAAGATCTTCTCGCCTTACTTTTGGCTCTACTCTTCTAGCTCTTATTTGCTCAACAGTACTTATCCCCGTTCTCATATCATCTGCTATGATTATCACTAATCTATTGAATTCCATCTCAAGAAGTAGATCATCAATTGTTTTCCAATGTTTGTAAATTTTGCAGGTTGAAAAGTACATAAGGTCAGGATTGTAATTAGTTTTTACACTCTGTAAATAACGAATATTCAGAATTACAATTTCAAAATTTTAAAAATTGTGGAAGATATATAAGATAAGATAAGATATTTGTTAATATTTCCCAAACAATACAATGGATTTTAATAATATTGAAATATTTTATTCTTAAAATCATGTCCTTTCAAAATTTTGCAAAAATAAATTTTTTTTACAAAAATAATGAAAAAAAAATTTGGAATCGATTTATAGATTTCAGGTTTTATAGAGCAAAATACAAAATTTTTAGATTTAAATTAAAAATAATTGAATCTGATAAATCTTTTCCAAATAGTTTGCATTTATTGAAATAAATAAATTCTGTTTTCAGTGCACATTTCCTACTACTTTGCCATTTATTCCTTCTTCATACTGATGCATAAAATGTTTTATTTTGTGAAATGGAATTTAAAACTTACCAGAGAATCCTTAACAATATTATAGGTAATATTCATTACATTTCTGCAATTGTCTCTTAAAAGTAGCATTTTCCGTTTAAGATCATCAAGTGAGGAAAAAATGTAATCGTTTTTTAAAGAATATTCATTTTTATACAAATATATTAAGCTGTTAAACCAAGGCAGTTGGCTTATCAATGTTTTTGCAACAAGATGTTTTAGACCTGCTATCCATGATATTATTTTGTGAGATGTAACATCTGATATTCCTTTCATAAAACAAAATAATTTAAATATGCCTATTTTGTGTTCATTATCACAAATACCGCCAAATGAATTATCATTGCTTGTCAATAAAGATATAGTGTTATTGATCCAATTCAAATAATCAATGCTGACCATAACATCTTTAACATCGCTAAAATATCTCAAAAACAGATATTCTGTCACTTCCAAATTTCTAGACAGAAAGCACATTAAGCTTCTTCCTGCAGTACTTCTTTTTTTACTTTTTTCTATACTCTTACTATTGTTTTGAATTTGATTGAGTAATGAGTTAAAATGCATATAAGAATTCGCGCTTTGAGAATTTAAGTTGAATCCTATCGAACCACAAATGTTGTCATTATCGAATGCATTAAAAGATAAGTTTTTTGTTTTTTGTTCTTTGAATAATTGTTTACGTAACTGGAATAATTCTGCGAAGCTTTCACCCTTCTGTAGTTTTTCGTTTACATAATTTACAAGAGGGCAATTGGTGCAGCTTGGTTCCAATGGAATTAAAATATCTTCATAGAAAGGAGACTCTTTTTTTACATTAACAAAATCAAAGGTTATGCCTAAATTGTCCTTTAGTAACTTCTTTTGTGAATATATGGTCAATAAATGGTCTTGAAAGTCTACTGGATAAATAAAATAATATGTGTCGTTCGCTTGTAGTAAATAAATATTTCCTAATATAGTTTGATATAATTGACTGTAATAAGGATAGTTCTTGATTCTATAATCATTTAATATTCTTTTGCTTCCGTTTAAATTTACAACTCTGTTTATACCATCACTAATCTTATCTGCTATAATCACTACCAACGGCTTGTACTTTCTTTCAAAAAGCATAGAATCAATTACTTTAGAGTTATCATAAAGGGAGCAGATATCATTTTTAAACGTGAGTGATTTGATTTCCGTTTCTTCTACCTGTAAAATACTCATTTTGAGAAACATTCTCTTTAAGATTTAGTCTTAGAGTAAAAATATCGACTCATTTTTTTATATATTTCTTTTATAATATGTAACGCTAATGAGTCACTTCTTCTAAAAAAAAATTTTCTAATATTTCTTTTTCATAACAAAATCTGATTCTAAAAAATTGCATTTATACAATGCTCTGGAAACTACTGATTTATGAAATTAATTTCTGTAAAAACATTTACTTTGTAAAACATAGAAAATTAGAAATTGATTTTCATTAGAAAAGCAAAAATTATAAAATAAATTTTCTAAGAAAAATAATTAAAAATTGAACTCCATTAGAAAAAGAACATTTTTAACAACTGAATTTTTTAGAAATACAGAAATTAGAAAATTATACATTGAAGAATAGTTTTTAGAAAAACTATACGCCAATCGTAACAGTATTTATAAGATATTAGAGTTTTGTCTATTTCTTAAATAAAGCAAATATTAAATTTTCACGATTCCTTGATAAAAATATTGTTTTGTAAATTTACAGAAAATTATTAAATTTTTTTATCGTTTTTTTTTTATTTTTTGATATTAAATATTATCATTTATGAAAAATTCAAGTAACAGATGTATAAAAAAAAAGTTATGACATTATTTATAAAAAAATATTTTTAAATTATTTCAAATTAATTTATAAAAAGCAGTATTATTGTTAATTTCTGAAACTATTATTATATACTAGATTAATAAAATAATTTGACACCTCCCGTTGATAAAATCTTATATCAATTGTTTTATGTATTCTAGGATATTCTTCTAAGCCCCTACATTGAGAAAACGATTCATTTGATTCAAATAAATTTTGTTTAAATCAATCTTAAAATATCTTTGCTATACAGTAAAGTATATTTCAGTTTAATTCAAACATGTTTTTCGATTCATTTACAGAAATAATATATTGAATTTAAACATAAGTTATGGTTGATTTTAAATTATTTATAACCACTTTTTAAGTTTGAAGCAAACATAAAATTTTTAAACATATTTTTTGTTTCAACCAAAACAGAATATTTGTTTTAATTAAACATAATAATTCAAACAAAATAATATTTTTGAATCAAATTTTATAGCTAATTTTAATAATTTATTTTATTATTTTTATTTAGGATTTTATTTCAGTAATAATTATTAACAATTAAAAAATGCAAAACATTACAAACGAATTTTATTATTTTGACAATTAAAATAGGCTTTAATCAACGGGATGCGTTGAATTGTAATAATAAACAATATATTTTTTTAATCTCAAAAAATCGAGACTATAATTAGTTTTTGTTTTAATTCTCAACAAAAAAAAGTACAATATAAAAATGAAAATAATGAATAAATAATTTAAATAAATTCTTCTCTTCTTATACTTACATTGTTTTCTCCATAAATTGAAATTTGGCCAGCCATCGATAGAAAAATCAAAGTAAGCGCTGTTGAAAATGTACTTTGAGAATGCATTTTTCATTTTCTTGTGAATATACTTTCTTTCAATAGTTGCACTGATATAATATTGAAATAAAATAATGCATGCTTATATACGTAAAAAATCATAAAATATAATCAATTTTTTTAACAACTTTAATTTTATGTGATTTTTTACTTTTAAATTTTAATCTATAAAACTTGTTTTGCGCTTTACAAAAATTTATTTGAAACAAAAAGAAGTAAATAGTTTATTAATTTTTTTATTAATTATTTATTAGTATATTATTAATATTTAGATAATTAATGGTATGAATCATTAATTTTAAATCAAATTAAATTAGGTAATTTAAATTGATTAAAATTATTGTCTATTTATACCAGGGACCGTCTCGAAAGTTTAGTTTCGTTTTAGTGTTTGAGTTGACACGAAACTAAATTAACAAAGTGACTTTTGTTTCAAGTCGACACGAAACAAAATTAACAAACTGAGTTTAGTTTCGTGTCGACCCGAAACTAAATTAATAAATTAGATTTAGTTTCGTGTCGACTCAAAACAAAAGATTGAAAAACATAATTATTTAGTGTCAATCATAGAAAAATTGTTTCCCCTGACTTACGTAACTAGAGCAACGTAAGTAATTACTGTAAGTTATGTAACCAGAGTAAATTACGTAACTATAGTAATTTACATAATTAAAGGAAGTTACGTAACTTACGTAAATGTGATTATTTGAGTTAATATGGTAAATTCCACTATTTACGTTAGTTACGTAACTTGCGTAAGCTTGATTAATTGCGTAAGCTATTCTAGTTACGTAACTTACGTAAGTTTGACCATTTACGCAAGTTACTGTAGTTACGCACTTTACTCTAGTTCCTGTAGTTACGTACTTTACTCTAGTTACGTAAGTTATTCTAGTTACGTAACTTCCTTTAATTATGTAAATTACTATAGTTACGTAATTTACTCTGGTTACGTAACTTACATTAATTACTTACGTTGCTCTAGTTACGGATGACAAGGGAAACAATTTTTCTGTGATTGACACTAAATAATTGTGTTTTAGTCTTTTGTTTTGAGTCGACACGAAACTAAACTCATTTTGTTAATTTAGTTTCGTGCACGGAAAAGTTTTGGGGCGAGCAACTCTATTTGCTCTAGTAACGCTGCGCAACTTCACTTTGGTGCAGCAATAGTCGCAAAAAGATAGCGCAGCAGGCCAGCATTGGACGAGCTGCTCTACCAGTCGTGTATCTACCACTGACTTTCAGCGCAGCTCGTCCAACACTGGGTGAGCAGCGTTCCCAGTAGAGAGAGAAGCTCACCCATTTACAAGGCGATATGCCTTCTCTCTTTTAGGAAAAACCTTCTCTACGCGCGGAGAACGCAGCTAGCCCGAAAACTTTTCCGTGTGTCAACTCAAACACTAAAACGAAAGTAATTTCTATTTAGTTTCGTTTTAGAAGCGGTCCCTGATTTATACTATTATTAATTAGTTAATAATTTTTTAATTGAAACTCGAAATTTTCGATAATCAAAAATTATAAATTTACTCTTAATTTCTATTTTTTAAGGCATTTTTAATATGCTTTTTCAGTTTTTAAAAATCAATAATGAAATTGATTTTGAAAAATAAAAATGAAACAAAAAAATGGTAAAATATTAAAAGAAATTATCATTTTTTTTGCATTTTTTAATTCATGTGTATTATAGGTTCTGAAAAATGCCAAAGAATTTTCAGTGCTAAACGTGGTCAATTTTGATTGTCTCAAAATTTTACTGTAGTGATTATTTTAAAATTCAACATCTATTATCTTTCATATTTTTCAATGTTAAATTTAATAAATTTTTTTATTATTCTGAACAATCAGTCGCATAAATTGTATGAATTTTGAAAAAAGTTAATATTCTAAAAAAATAAAATTTTTATTCGGTTAATGAAAATATTCGAAATATTTTATAATAATACAAAATTATTTTACTTTTTATTTATTTATTATTATTTCAAACATTTTATACAATTTGTTGCTTAAAATTAATCATTTTGTCTTAAAAAAATTTCATTTGAAAAATAATAGAAATCCTTTATTTTAAAAATTTTTTTTGTTTGTCAAAAAACGTCTAACATTTTTAAATTTAAAAGATTCCATTATAGTACCTAATACTAATTTTTTAAACCATTAATGGGCTTGGTTTAGAAGAAAATTATTAAAAATTTCCACTAATCTTTAGTAGGCTACATTTCACTCATATAAAATTAGAGAAATACATGTTATTAGGATACAAGATTTTTAGAAAAGAATCTTATTTCCTCTTATTATTAAATAGATATTTTAACAAAGAATCACCATTTAAGGTTAATTTTAATGAATTTTAATGTAATTCAAATCAAATAGATGCTAATTCTTTACATTTCATAGACATCGTGATGTTTTTAAAAATCGAATAAATTTTGTTAGACAAATCAGTACCATTGAAGGTAATTTTTGGTATTTGTGAGTAAAAAGCGTCTGTTTCTTTAATTACATTATTTTCTCCATAAATTGAAATTTGGCCAGCCATCGATAGAAAAATCAAAGTAAAAGCGCTGGCGAAAATGTACTTTGAGAATGCATTTTTGATTTTCTTGTGAATATACTTTCTTTCAATAGTCGCACTGATATAATATTGAAATAAAATAATGCACGCTTATATACATAAAAAATCATAAAATGTAATCAATTGTTTTAACAACTTTAATTTTATGTGATTTTTTACTGTCAATCTATAAAACTTATTTTGCGCTTTACAAAAATTTATTTGAAACAAGAAGAAGTAAATAGTTTATTATTTTTTTTATAATATTTGTTTATTTATAACACTAGAAGAATAATATACTTTACTTACTATTATTAATTATTAATATTTACTTTATTAACTATTATTAATTAGTTAATAATTTTATAACTCAAACTTGAAATTTTCGATAATCAAAAATTAAAAATTTACTCTTAATTTCTATTTTTCAAGGCCTTTTTTTATATGCTTTTCCAGTTTCTAAAAATCAACAACAAAAGTGATTTTGAAAAATAAAAATGAAACATAAAAGAATGATAAAATATTTCAAAACTGTAGTATTTTTTACTTTTTTTAATTCATGTGTATTACAGGTTCTGAAAAATGTTAGAATTGTCAGTGCTAAACGTGGTCAATTTTGATTGTCTCAAAATTTTACTGTAGTGATTATTTTAAAATTCAACATCTATTATCTTTCATATTTTTCAATGTTAAATTTAATAAATTTTTTTATTATTCTAAACAATCAGTCGCATAAATTGTATGAATTTTGAAAAAAGTTAATATTTTAAAAAAATAAAATTTATATTCGGTTAATGAAAATATTCGAAAAATTTTATAATAATACAAAATTATTTTACTTTTTATTTATTTATTATTATTTCAAACATTTTATACAATTTGGTGCTTAAAATTAATTATTTTGTCATAAAAAAATTTCATTTGAAGAATAATATGTATATTTTGCTCTTTTTTAATTACTATTTCAATAATTTTAAAAAAGAATCTTATTTTCTCTTATTATTAAATAGATTTTTTTTATAAAATCATTAACATTTAAGGTTAATTTTAATATAATTCAAATTAAATTGATTCCTTACATTTTAGAGAGATCCTGTAGTTTTTCATAATCGAATAAATTTTGTTATACAAATTAACACCATTTGAGGTAATTTCTGATATTTCGGTGTAAAGAGCATCTGATTCTTTAAATATTCGAGTTTCATTATACTGATAATCAATGTAATTCTTTGATAATAATTTTTCTATCCAACCCTGAGTTTTTAACAAATTTTTGAGAATAACATTTTTCTCTGCTTCAACAATACTTTTCATATAGTCAATTACATAAGATTTCTGATTAATAACTTTTAGCATGCCTTCAATATAATTTATTTTTAAAAAGCAAAATAATTTAAGAAATTTCAAAACATTCTTATTACTACAAAGAGAATATAAATTCGTATTGTCTCTGTTATTTATTGAGGTTAAATTTCTATGAGCATAAAATAACAAACTATAAAATTTAAAAACATCGCCATATTTGGATATACTAAAATCAATGTCAATTCTGTTATTTAATTCCCAAAATGATAGGCACGGCAAACCTCTAAATAAATAGTTTGTGTCATAAAAATGATTTTGTTCTTTCAAAAGAATATAAAAGTTCTGAAAGCAACCAATGGAACCATGGACTTTATTATGTGAATCGTAATTATTAACAAACTCTGGCAATTTATTGTAAAAGGAAGTATATAATAAAAAATATTTAGAAAAGCGGTTAAAAAAATCTTGATGAACTTTAATTAAATAAGAGGGACTTATATAGCGCGTCTTATAGTTCCCTAAAGTTATGTTAGAATAATCTGGTAGCGCAGGAATTACTAAATCATTGTAATCGTGACCAATTTGTTCATATGAAGAAAAATAATTCGCAAAGTTTACAAAATAAAATACAACATTTGAATAATCTTTAATCATTTTGTATTCGAAATAGCCAATCAGTGGGTTTTTTTGTCTGTCGTCGTTCGTTGGGTAGACATAATAGTGAGTATCATTGGATTGAACCAAATAAATATGTTTCATTATTATGTCGTACAAAAACTGTTCTGTAAAATGAAGATCTTCTCGCATAACTTTCGGTACTACTCTGTTACCTCTTATTTGTTTAGCAATTCTGATCCCTTGTTTCATGTCATCTACTATGATTATCACTAATCTTTTGAATTTCACCTCAAGAAGAAGATTATCAACTATTTCCCAATAATTGTAAAAATTGCAGATTGAAAAGTACATAAGGTCATAGTAATGATAAGTATTTACACTCTGTAAACAACGAATATTTAGAATTACGATTTATGTTAGAGTATTTTTCATAGTTCTTTTAGTACTTCAGATACTCTCAATTTTACTCTGTACGCACAGAGCAAAATTTTAATTGTAATAAATATAATTGACTAGAGTGAAATTACTTTCTATTTGACTTAGAGTCTGCTAAATTCTTCTGCTAAAGTCTTTTGTTTGAAATAAACTATTCGAAACGATTAAAATTTTTATTTTAACTACCTTAGTATACTGAGATGCGAAAGCTTTAGTACATTTCGATAGATTACTTGCAAATTCTTACTTTACTTCAAATTCAGATATATTTGTTGTCAAATTCAACCAAATGTACTGAAACTTTCTGATCACAGCATAAATATTTAAATGATTAATATATTTTAATTTATCGTATTAAGTAGATAGTAATATTTATTATAATATCACTATTTTTTATTGCTTTCCCATACTGATGCATAAAATTATATAATTTGTAGATTATAGGTTTAAAACTTACCAAAGAACTCCCTATTTTCTCATAGGTAATATTCATTACATCTTTCCAATTTTCACTGACATTTAGCATTTCCTGTTTAAGATAAAAGAGTTCGGAGGATATTCGACTTTTTTCAAATGTATAATCATAATTATAATAAATCATTAAGCTATGAAACCAACTTAGTTTGCTTATCAATGGCATTGCAACAAGTTCGTCTAGGGCTTCTGTCCACCCTGTTATGTTGCGAGATGTAACATCTGACATTTCTTTCACAAAACAAAATAATTTAAGTATTTCTATTTTGTGTTCATTTTCACAAAGACCTCCAAATGAAGTATCATTGATTTTCAATGACAATATAGTTCTGTCAATCCAGTTTAAGTAATCAATCATAATCATAACATCTTTTACATCACTAACATAACCCAACAATTGATATTCTGTTACTTCCAAATTTCTAGACTGAAAGCAAATTAAGCTTCTTTCTACAATACTTCTTTTTTTACTTTTTTCCATACTCTTGCTATTGTTCTGAATTTGTTTTAGTAATGAGTTAAAACGCATATAAGTATTCGCGCCTTGAGAATTTAAGTTGAATCCTATCGAAGAACATATGTTGTCATTATCGAATGCATTAAAAGATAAGTTTTTTGTTTCTTGTTCTCTGAATAATTGTTTACGTAACTCGAATAATTCTGAGAAGCTCTCGTCTTTACGTATTTTTTCGTTTACATAATTTACAAGAGGGCAATTGGTGCAGCTTGGTTCCAATGGAATTAAAATATCTTCATAGAATGGAGACTCTTTCTTTACATTAACAAAATCAAAGGTTATGCCTAAATTGTCCTTTAGTAACTTCTTTTGGGAATATATGGTCAATAAATGGTCTTGAAAGTCTACTGGATAAATAAAATAATATGTATCGTTGACTTCAAATAGATAAATATTTTTCAATATAATTTGATAAAACTGACTGTAATAAGGGATGTTCTTGATCCCATAATCATTTAATACTCTTTTGTTGCCACTTAAATTTCTAACTCTGTTTATACCGTCAATAAATTGATCTGCTATTATTACTACCAACGGCTTGTACTTTCTTTCGAAAAGCATATAATCAATTAATTTAGACTTATCATAAAGGGAACAAATATCATTTTCAAACGTGAATGGCTTGATTTTTGTTTCTTCTTCCTGTAATTTTACAAACATTCATTCTGAGAAACGTTGTCAAACTTTTTGAATGCATCCTTACAGTAAAAATATCGACTTATTTTTTATTTACTATTTTTTATAACAAGTAACAATATGTAGTTACTTTTTCTAAACAATTTTTTTGTAATAGGTTTTTTTCTAAATAAAAGTTTATATTGTATTTAAAGAATAAATTTCGAATTAAAAAATAAGTAGAATTAATTTATAAAATGACTTTATATTAGAAGAAACAATAAGTAGTAAATGATCCGTATTAAAAATGCAAAAAATAAATAAAGAACCTTTCCGAGTCAAAATTTTAGAACCTGCTTTTGACCTATTTGATCCTATTGTTTCAATATTTATGTGGACCAATTTTTATTTTATCAAATCATAAAAATTACGTAGAATTTTTATTAAATAGAATTTTTTGGAAATTTTTGGCAACTGATTTAATTAGTGAATTATAAATAATATTAATTTCTATAATTAATAAATATTTGTTTACCTACATTAATTTACATTATTTACATTGTCCTATTCGCATACTATTTTTAAAATAAAAAAAAATTATTAGAAGAATTTAATTAGAAAAAGAACATTTAGAAATTGAACTTTTTAGAAATACAAATATTAAAATAATTATTTGAGAATATTTTTTTGAAAAACTCTACTCTAATCGCAAAGTTACAGAGTCATAAAAAGTAATCATTGTTTTATTTCTACAGAAAGGAAAATATTTGCAATTCACGATTTCTTAATAAATATTTTATTCTAAAATGTAAATAATAAATTTATAGAAAAATATTAAATTTTTAATAAATTTTTTTATTGCTTTTTTAATGACGAAAGTATAATAACTGTATACTTAAAAACTAACTATAATATTATAAATATTATAGTAATATAATTATATTATATACATATATTAATATAATGCTTGGTAATGTTCTCACAAAGCGGACATAAACAATGTTGCGACAATAGTACATCAACATTACCTGACAATATAAGTTTTTCTTAATAAATGATCCAAATAATTATCCTATTTTATTTTTGAAAGCTTTTTTTACATTGCAAAATGCTTTATTTGCTTTGAAACTAAAAATAAGTAACTTTTTTTTGGCGAACTTACCCAACTCTCTTCTACATTGTCTTCATCAAAAATTGAAATTTTTCCAACGAGCAATAACAGAATCAAACCAAACGCTGTTAAAAATTTTCCTGGATAGTCCATGTTTAGTTTCTTTTTGAATGTACTTTCTTTCAACACTTGTACTGATATACTATTGAAATAGAAAAATGCTTGCTTATGTACATGGAAATTGTATCACAAAATGTAATCAATTTTTTAATAACTTTTTTACTGTTAATCTCTAAAACTTCTTTTGTGCTTCACGAAAATTCATGATTTATTTGCCATTTTTTATATCCTTGTTTTATAGTTTTGAACAAAGATTAAAAAAATTGATTTTAAAAAGTTTCAATTTTTTCAAAATTTTTCGCAAATAAAAATGCAAAGATGTAACGATATAAAATTATATTTATTATTCATTATTATTACATTACATTTTGCAACTTACAAAAAATGTACAATGCAAGGTTTCTTGCAAGCTTACATGTTAACTGGGTACAAGACAATTTTTTTCTTTGCTCTTTAACCTTTAAAGTGCTAAGTGTTGAAAAATCACGCTCAGTGCTAACCCCGGTCTGTCAGACCGCTATTCCCTTTTGACAGTTTTTTAGTCATTTATAATTTTTAAGAGACAACTATTATAAATATTTTTTACTTTTTAACAAAAAAAGTCATTTCTGTATTATGCATTTATGTATTTTATTTATTTTATAAATACAGTCTATGAGAACTGTCAGTAGAACTAGCTGCGCGTCAAGTTGCGCAGACGTTACTCATGGGAATATACTGGAATATACTTTCATTTAAAGCTAACCCCGGTCTCACAGACCGCTATACTTCAAATATTTATTTATATTACAAAATTTAACGAATAACAATTTTTGAAAAAGTTGTCTCCTAACAGATTTTCATTAAATATGAAGCTACTAAAAAGTTCAAGTTCTTATTATACTTTGAAAAAAAGTTACAAGCAAAGAAAATTTTAATAGCGATCTGTCAGACCGGCATAGCACTTTAAAGGTTAATAAGATCTGTTTCTTGAAATTTAGGAGAAGTTTTATTTTCACTTAATACTAAATAATTTTTCGTTGACGCATTAACTACATTTACGGTGATTTCTTCAGTATCAACAAATCCTAATTTCTGACATTGCAAAAAAATTGTATTGTTTTTAAAAATGGAATAAATTTTGTTAGACAAATCAGCACCATTGAAGGTAATTTTTGGTATTTGAGAGTAAAGAGCATCTGATTCGTTAAACATTCGAGTTTCATTATTCTGATAATCATTGTTATTCATTGACAATAGTTTTTGTATCCAACCCATCGTCTTTAAGAAATATTTTATAATATCATTTTCCTCATTTTCAACAATACTTTTCATATTGGAAATGTAATTAGATTCTTGATCAATAACTTTTAGCATGTCGTCAATAAAATTTATTTTTAAAAAGCAGAAGAATTTAAGAAATTTAAAAATTTCTTTTTTACTACAAAGAGATTTTAAATTAGTATTGTCTCCGTTATTTATTGAGATTATGTTCGTATAAGCAGAAATTAGTAGATCATCAAAGTGCAAAGCATCGTTCAATTTAGTGATACTAAAATCCATGTCCGTTCTAAGATTTAATTCCCGTAACGATAAGCACGGCAAATCTCTAAATAAATAATTGATATTATAAGAAATTTGCTTTTGTCCCAAAAATTCATAAAATTTTCGAGAGTATTCAATATAGTAACTGTCTTTATGCTGTGGATTGTGATTATTTATAAATTCTGTCAATGTCAAGTAAAAAGAAGCATATAAAGAAAAATATTTTGGAAAGCGGTTAAAAAATTCTTGATGTACTTTCAATAAATATGAGGGATTTACAAAGCGTGTCTTACAGTTTCTTGAAGTTATGTTACAAAAATCTGGTAGCGCAGGAATAACCAAATAATTATAATCAAGAATAATTTGTTCATCAAGAGAAAAGTAATTCAAAAAGTTTACGAAAAGAAATTCAACTTTCGAATAATCTTTAATCATTTTGTATTCGAAATAGCCAATCAATGGGTTTTCTTGTCTGCTGGTAGTCGTTGGGTAGACGTAATAATGAGTATCATTGGATTGAACCAAATAAATATGTTTCATTATGAAATCGTACAAAAACTGTTCAGAATAATGAAGATCTTCTCGCTTTACTTTTGGTACTATTCTACTAGTTCTTATTTGGTTAAAAGTTTTAATTCCTTGTCTTATATTATCTGTCACGATTATCACTAATCTCTTGAATTTCACATCGAAAAGAAGATCGTTAATTGTTTTCCAATGTTTGTAAATAGTGCAGATTGTATTGTTGATAAGTCTGCTGTTATTATTATTTGCACTCTGTAAATAAAACATGTTTAATGTTACAATTTATGTTAAGGTATTTTGAATAATTCTCTTGGTACATTAAATAATGTTAACCATAGAAATAGAACAGCTTTATTTGTTTTAAATAAAATTGATCAGGATCTCATATAACATACTGATATATAGAGAAAAATTTGTTTGAACCAATTTTATAAATTTTATAAATTAAAGGACTACAAATCTACCTCCACGAGGAAGCAAAATTATTATCTGCGAACCAAAGAAAATTCATTTGAAATAATAAAAAGTTAAAAAGCCTCTGAATTAAATATATTTTGCTACTGTTTGTAAACATACGTTAGATTCATTTACCTAATCAACGCAAAAAAAATTCCATTGGGTCAAGAAAATATTTTTCAATTAAATATGAACTTATTTAATCGAGCATATTTGTTTCAGTGCACAGATATTAGACCTTCTTTTATTCTCATAATGATACAAAAAATGTTCTATTTTGTGAAATACAATTTAAAACTTACCAGAGAATCCTTAACATTATTATAGGCAATATTCATTACATTACTCCAATTTTCGCTTACAGTTAACATTTCATTTTTAAGATAATTGAGTGCGTAGAAAATTTGATTCTCGCTCATCGTATATTCATAATTAAAATAAGACATTAAGCTGTTAAACCATTTTAGTTTGCTTTTCAATGTTTTTGCAACATGTTGTTTTAGGGCATCTATCCATGCTGTCACGTTGTGTGATGTAACATCTGATTTTTTCTTCATAAAACAAAATAAGTCAAGTATTTCTATTTTGTGTTTATTTTCACAAAGAATCCCAAATGAAATATCACTGTTATTTAATGAAGATGTAGTGCTATAAATCCAATTTAAATAATCAATCATAACCGTAACATTTTTTAAATCGCTACCATAGCTCGAAAGCAGATGTTCTGTTGCTTCCGAATTTCTAGACTGAAAGCAAATTAAGCTTTTTTCAACTATTCTTTTTTTTATTTTTGCTATACTCTTGCTATTACTTTGAATTTGATTTAGTAATGAGTTAAAACTCATTAAAGAATTCGCGTTTTGAGAATTTAAGTTAAATCCCATCGAAGTACATACGTTGTCATTATCGTCGAATGTACCAAAAGATAAGTTTTTTGTTTCTTGTTCTCTGAATAATTGTTTACGTAACTCCAATAATTCTGAGAATCTTTCACCTTTTTGTAGTTTTTCATTTACATAATTTACAAGAGTGCAATTGGTGCAGCTTGGTTCCAATGAAATTAAAATATCTTCATAGAAAGGAAAATCTTTCTTTACATTAACAAAATCAAAGGTAATTCCTAAATTGTCATTTAATAGCTTATTTTGGCAATAAATGGTCAAAAAACGTAATTTTAATTTTAATGGATAAACAAAATAATATGTGTCGTTTGCTTGGAATAGATAGATATTTTCCATTATAATTTGATATAACTGACTGTAATGAGGGTTGTTATTGATCCCATCATCATTTAATATTCTTTTGCTCCCACTTAAATTTCTAACTCTATTTATACCAATACTCAAGTTAGCTGCTATTATTACTACCAAAGGTTTGTACTTTCTTTCAAAAAGCATAGAATCAATTACTTTAGAGTTATCATAAAGGGAACAGATATCATTTTCAAACTTGAGTGACTTGATTTCCAATTCTTCTACCTGTAAAATACTCATTTTGAGTAATATTTAATTTGTAGGATGTATATCCTTAGAGTAAAACTATTGACCCCAGAAAACTAGAGGTTTGGAATAGCATCAGCTATTGGAAAATATTCTAAATATTGAAATACACCATTCACAGATTTTTCAGTATTGTAACAGAACAGAGTAACTTTTTCGACAAAATATTGAAAAAATGAGAAAATAAACATTTGAATCAAACATATTTAAGCTTATTAACTGACTTTAATTAAACAGAATCATTTCAAAATATTTTTGCACGGAAGAAAGGTTTCACGAAAGTCTTAACTAAAACAACTAGTAATTTCGTTAACATAGTGAAATTTGTAGTTGTTCCATGTGAAACTTATTTTTCTGTGTGTACCTATAAACTTTATTTGAAAAATAATTATTAGAAATTGAATATCTTTAGACAAAGGTTAAAAATCGAACTTTTTAGAAATACAAAAATTTAAAATATAAAATATTTGATAATAATTTTTAGATAAACGGTTCATCAATCGTAAAGTTATAGAGTCTCAAAAAGTAATCTTTTATTTTATTTCGGAAGGAAAGGCAGTTGCCTTCTATTAATATACATAGTTATGTATATTTCACGATTCCTTAAAAAATATTTTTATTGTAAACTTACAGAAAAAATGAATTCTTTAACGACTTCTTGTATTACTTTTTTATTTTTCGACTTTATATCTTATCATTTATGAAAAATGCAAATTATGACAATATTTTAACCCAAATAGCACAATATTTGAGTCCAATATTGTATCATTATTGCATGGAAATATTCGTTTTTTTCAATAAATAATTCTAAGAATTATTTCTTTTTATTTTTAAAAGTTGTCTTTTCAGTGTAAAATGCTTTGCTTAGAAACTAAAAATAAGTAACTTTTTTTAAAATTTATATTTGTTTGGGCGAACTTACCCGACTCTCTTCTACATTGTCTTCATCAAAAATTGCAATTTTTCCAACGAGCAGTAACAGAATCAAACCAAACGCCGTTAAAAATTTTCTTCGGTAGTCCATGTTTCGTTTTCTATCGAGTGTACTTTCTTTCAACACTTGCACTGACTTACTATTAAAATACAAAAATTCATGCTAATACATATGAAAAATGTATCATAAAATATAATCAATTTTTTAACAACTTTAACATTTTTTATTACTTTGACATTCATAAGTTTATGACATTATTACTTTTAATCTATAAAACTTGTTCTGTGATTATCAAAAATTTTGAAAAATTCTTGTTTTATTAATAATAACCAAAGAAAAAAAATATTTCACACTGAATATGAATACTTTTGTTTTTTAGGATAAATTGAGAGAATATTGTCCTCATAATTTGAAATTAATTTATTCTGGGTGTGAAATAAATAACTTTTGATTCTTTTTAAATTCAAGTTTTATTACGATTATAATCAATGTCGACTACTAATTAAAATTAGTACAAATTTCCACTAACCCCTAGTGGGCAACTTTTTACTATAATTTTAATGTAGAAAAATACATGTTAATTGGGTACAAGACAACAACAACAACAACAATAATTTGAGTAAATTGCAAAATACCTCCTGTGGATATCCGGAAATTATGATATCGGTAGGATATCCCAGAGAAGTCCTTGAATATATTGTGAACATCCTGGAGATATCTTAATTTCCGGATATGACTAGGGTGTTCATAGGATTTTCTGTAATATTTCTTAGGATAGTACATTGCAAAGAAATCTTATTCTTCTTTAAAATTGAGTAGATTTTGTTTGACAAATCAGCACCATTTGAGGTAATTTTTGGTATTACGGAATAAAGAGCGTCTGATTTTACAAAAATTAGAGTCTCATTATATTTATAATCATTAAATTGCATTAAAAATAATTTATGAAGCCAAACACTTGTGTTTTTCAAATATTTCGTAATAAGATTTTTTTCATTGTTAACAATACTTTTCATATTGGAAACATGAACAGATTTCTGATCAGTAACTTTTAGCATATCATGAATATAATTTATTTTTAAAAAGCAAAAGAATTTGAGAAATTTAAAAATTTCTCTATTACTACAAAGAGAATATAAATTCGTATTATCCGTATCATTTATTGATGTAATGTTGCTATAAGCATAATATATAAAATCATGGAAGTACATAATGTCAACTAAATTAGTCATACTGAAATCTATATCGGTTCTATTATTTAATTTTCTCGAAGATAAGCACGACAAATCAGTAAATAAATAGTTTGTGTCATAAGAAATTTGTTGTTGTTTCACAAAGTCATAAAATTGCTGAGAGATATACGGGTAATATTCGTTTTTATAATGTGAGTAGTTATTATTTATAAATTCTGTCAAATTATTGTGAAAAGTAACAAAGAATGGTAAATAATGTGGAAAGTTGTAATAAAATTTTTGATGGAGATCAATTAAATATGAGGGATTAATAAAGCGCGTTTTACATTTTTCTGAAGTTGTGTTACAAAAATCTGGTAGATCAGGAATTACTGAATCATTGTAATCGTGACCAATTCGTTCACCAAGAGAAAAATAATTCTTAAAGTTTACAAAATAATATACAACTTTAGAATAATCACTAATCATCTTGTATTCAACGTAGCTAATCAATGAATCGCGATGTCTGTTGGTAGTCATTGGGTAGACATAATAATGAATATTATTTAATTGAACCAAATAGATATGTTTCATTATTGTATCGTACAAAAATTGTTCTGTATAATAAAGATCTTCTCGCTTTACTTTTGGTACTACTCTACTAGCTCTTATTTGTTTAGCAATTCTGATCCCTTGTTTCATGTCATCTACTACGATTATCACTAATTTCTTGAATTTCATCTCAAGAAGTAGATTATCAATTGTTTTCCAATGTTCGTAAATAGTACAGATTGTATTGTACTTAGTTTTATAGTTGTAATTAGTAATTTCACTCTGTAAGCAACAAATGTTTAGAATTACAATTTATGTAGAGTATTGTGATAAAATTATTAACTTGATAGAAAAATTGTGTTGAACTTGATACTTTCAATTTTACTGTGTACACATATAGAAAAATTTTCATTTAAATAAAATTATTTTTGTAAATAGCAAAACTAAAAATATTTGAACCAAATAATTATTTTTATGACTTTCCCTTACTAATCCATAAAATGTTATAATTTGTACATTATAGGTTTCAAACTTACCAAAGAATCCTCAACATGCTCATGGGTAATTGTCATTACATCTTTCCAATCTACAGTTACGTTTAGTGTTTCCTGTTTAAGATAATTGAGTACTCTGACAATTTCATTTTTACTCATAGTATATTCATTTTTATACAAATATATTAACTTGTTAAACCATTTTAGCTTGCTTTTCAATGTTTTTGCAACATTTTGTTTTAGGGCATCTATCCATGCTGTCACGTTGTGTGATGTAACATCTGATTTTTTCTTCATAAAACAGAATAATTTAATTATTTCTATTTTATGTTCATTTTCACAAAGACCGCCAAATGAATTATCATTGCTTTTCAATGAAGATATAGTGCTATTGATCCAATTCAAATAATCAATCATAGCCATAATATCTTTTAAATAATGTTTATTGGCAATACTTCTCAAAAACTCACCTTCTGTCTTTTTCAAATCTCTAGACTGAAAGCAAATTAAGCTTCTTTCTACAATACTTTTTTTCTTACTGTCTTTAACACTCTTGCTATTGGTTTGAATTTGTTTCAGTAATGAGTTAAAACGCAATAAAGAACTCGCGCCTTTCGAATTTAAGTTGAATCCCATCGAAGCACAAATGTTGTCATTATCGAATACATTAAATGATAAGTTTTTTGTTTTTTTTTCTCTGAATAATTGTTTACGTAACTCGAATAATTCCGAGAAGCTTTCACCTTTTCGTAGTTTTTCATTTACATATTTTACAAGAGCGCAATTGGTGCAGCTTGGTTCCAATGGAATTAAAATATCTTCATAGAAAGGAGACTCTTTCTTTACATTAACAAAATCAAAGGTTATGCCTAAATTGCCCTTCAGTAACTTCTTTTGTGAATATATGGTCAATAAATGGTCTTGAAAGTCTACTGGATAAATAAAATAATATGTGTCGTTGACTTCAAATAGATAAATATTTTCCAACATAATTTTATATAACTGACTGTAATAAGGGTAGTGCTTGATTTCCTTATCATTTAATATTCTTTTGCTCCCGTTCAAGTTTCTGACTCTGTTTATACCGTCAATAAATTTATCTGCTATAATCACTACCAACGGCTTGTACTTTCTTTCGAAAAGCACAAAATCAAATAAAAGAGAATTATCGTAAAGAGAACAGATGTCATCTTCAAATGTGAGTGGCTTGATTTTCGTTTCTTCTACCTGTAAAATACTCATTTTGAGAAACATTCTAAAATTTTTAGAATGCATCCTTAGAGCAAAACTATTGGCTCATTTTTAAGAGTGTTATTTTTATAATTTTACTGAGAAAAGTGGAGGTTTGGAATAAACATCTGAATTATTTAAGCAATTTTGTTATTCGCAATAAATTCTGGTCCTGAAGGGATTAAGAGTTTATATTTTAGATTCAGCTATTGGAGAATATTTTCTAATATTTCTTTTTTCTGAAAATAAAAAGTTTCTAAACAATTGCGTTCATAATATTTTCTATAGATTGTTCTAATGTTTATAGAATATTATAGGTACTATTATAATTTTCTAAAATTTTTCATTCCTGAGAAAACCATTTCTTTGAATTAACCATATTATTATTTAAAATAATCCTGAAATATCTTTACTATAGAGTCAAGTATACCTCAGATTAATTCAAACATATTTTCTGATTCATTTTTGAAGAAATAATATATTTAATTCAAATATGAAATATAAATTATTATTGATTTCAAGTTACACGGAATAAATTTTTAAGTTTAAATAAAAAAATGTTAAAACGTTATATGTATGTTTTACTTTAAACCAAAAAAGAATATATTTTTGAATTAAATATAATTTTTCAAACAAATGATATTTTTTAAATTAAAGCACTTAGATATTTTCTATAATATTGGAATTATAAGCTTATAAACTGACTATAATTATAATCAGTATCATCTAAAATTATTTTTGTATCTAAATAAGGTGTAATACTTTTAATTTGTAAAATATCCATAAGTTTTAAAATTTGTCAAAATAAAAATTTTCTTGTTGGACTTTGGATTAGTTCTAGTTTCTTTAAAATTAGTTTTCCTTTTTCTAAAGAGAAATTAATTAAATGAACAAGTGCCATTTATCAGAAGAAACAATAAATAATTGGAAATTGATCTTTATTAATAATAAGAAAATAAACTTTATTTGAAAATAAGTATCAGAAATTTAATTTCTTTAGAGAAAGGAAATTTAGAAATTGAATCTTTTTAGAAATACAAAAATTAAAGTGTATATAAAAAATTTGAAAATATTTTTCAGAAAAACTGTATATTAATCGTAATGTTTGACAGTCTTAAAAAATAATCTTTTTTTATTTTTATGTTAAAAAGTTAATATCTGGATTTCACGATTTCTTAATAAATATTTTATTGTAAATTTGCAGAAAAATATTTTTTAACAAATTCTTTTATTAATTTTTTTATTTTTTGGCTTTATATTTTACCATTTATGAAAAATGCAAATTAACAGATATATACGTATATAAAGTTATAACAAAATTTATAAAAAATATTTTTAAATTATTTTAAACTGTATTTAAAAAATGCAGTTTATTACAAATTTTTTAAAAATATTTTATGGTTTATTTATTACTAAAACTATTATTATTATTCCGATTATTAACATAATACAGTGTTTAAATAAATAAATGTTATAATTTACAATCTCTTTTTAACCTAAAAAAATCTTTTATGTTATTATTTATTATTTTAAAAAAATTTTTCTTCTATTTCTCTATAAAAAAAATCTAAATAGTACAACACTTGAGCGCAAAATCATTAATAAATAATTCAAATAACTATTTCTATTTATTTTTAAACAGTGTCTTTTCAGTGTAAAATGCTTTGCTTACAAACGAAAAATAAGTATAATTTTTGTAATTTAAATTTGTTTAGACAAACTTACCCGACTCTTTTCTACATTTTCTTCGTCAAAAATTGAAATTTTTCCAACGAGCAGTAACAGAATCAAACCAAACGCCGTTAAAAATTTTCTTCGGTATTCCATGTTTTGTTTTCTTTTGAATACACTTTCTTTCTACACTTTTACTGATATGCCATTCAAATAGAAAAATGCTTGCTTATGTACATGAAAAATCATAAAATGTAATCAATTTTTTAATAACTGTTACATTTTTTATTTCTTTAACCTTCGCATTCATGCTTCTAATCTCCAAAACTTTATATTTTGAATATTTTGCACTTTGAAAAAAATTGACGATTTACTACAATGCAAAGAAATTTTTATTCTCTTTTAAATTTAAATAATTCTTTTTTTTTGAAAATCAGCTTTATTTTTACCTTAGATGAATTTTCTGTTAAATAAAACTTATGTCAATTGAAATATTTGTCAAGTGATTTTCATGTGAAATAAAAGTCGTGTAAAGTGTATTTTTACGTTAAATGGAAATTATGCTAAATGATTTTTATATCGAATAAAAATGTATGTTGAAGTAATTCTATGTCAAATGACATATATGTTATTTAAATTTTATGTCTAATGAAATTATGTCAAATAAATGGATATCATATTTTAAATGCCATTCATGCAATATAAATTGTATGTTCTATGTTTAATGAAATGTATGTCAAATAAATTTCAAATTAAATTTTTTTTATACCAAATAGATTTTATGTCAAATGAAATTTATGTTAAATGTTTTTATGTCAAATAAGATTTCGGAAGTAGTCATGCGACTCTTTTTTTTAAAAAATAATTCTGTAATATTATTTGAGTTGAGAAGTATGAAATATGTCATCAATTGGAAGTATAGATATAACCGGAAGTGAAATAATAAATGAAGACAAAGTGGCTCAAGAGTTTTCTCATATCTAGGTTCGTAATATGTAAACGACGCGAATGGAGGAAGCCACGAATCGTTTCCATCGTGTGTGGGCAATGACTTCGTCATGCCATATCCTAGACTTTATTGTCCCCTTATATCCACTGCATATCACTATTCTCTTGATGCTCCTACACAAGAGAAGACGAGAGAGAGAGAGAGAGAGAGAGAGAAATCGGAAAACTGCATTATGCCATTATAGGAGTGGAAGTTCATATAATGGAAGAAATCTCTTGTTACTGCATATATTTATACTTATATACAGAACCGATCTCGCAGAATTATATATGTATAACACTGAAAGTCACTATTATTAATGCCACTTCGACCTTGTATATATATAGTTTCTTCCTTTACTATATATGAGACACGTGGAGACCATGAATAATGATCAATTTACGAAGGTCAATTACTCTGCACCCCAACATTATCATCTTCTTGATTTATTACACTCTCATCCTTATAGTGCTTCTTATCTATTCACTTTTTAGCGAAAAATTTTCTCATATTAAATTTCTTTTTGCGCCACGACGATGAATGCACACTTGAGCTCACAATCGGGGTACATTTTTTTTTTTTTGTCTTCATCTAAACAAACTTACATTAAAGTGAAATAAAAATTATTTCTCAACTTTTTTAATAAATTTTCTTTTTTAATGTTTTCAATTTTAAAAATGAATGCACTAAAAATTACTAAATTGTCAAATAATTGAATTCTTTCGAGAAAATTAAATTAAAATTTTATTGAAAATAATATTGAATTCTCGCAAAAAATATTATTATTTATAAAAAGAATCGAATTCTTTTAAAGAATGTTATTGTAATTATTGAAAATAATTTAATTCTTAACAAGAATTTTATTAAAAAATTTTTAAAATAATTTAATTCTTGCGAAAAATATTTTTTTGTAAAAATGTTTTATTTATTGATATTTAAATGTTTATAAATATTTTCATTATTGTTTAAACAAAAAACAGTTTTTTTGAACCAAATAAAATTTACTTGAATCAAGTTTAAAACAAATAAAATTTACTTGAATCAAGTTTAAAACAAATAAAATTAAATTTAAATTAATTAAAGTAAATAATAATTTGTTAATAACAAATTAAATTTTTATTTATTCAAAATCAAATTCTTATGAAATAAAAATTAATTTCAGCAAAATAAACTTTCATCAAACACAAATTAACTTCCGTTTAAATTAGTAAAATTTATTTAAAGTGAAGAAAACTTTTTTAAACCAAATAAAAGTTTTTATTTTCAAATATGAATTATTGAATAATTTCAGATTCAATAAACTTTAAAAAATTCTATTATTAACTAATTTATTAATTAATTTCAAAAATTTTAATAAAATTCTTCCCAAAAATTCAATTATTTTCATAAATAATAACATTCTTCGTAAGGATTAAATTATTTTTATAAATAGTAAAATTCTTTGCAAAAATTCAATTATTTTTAATACAATTTTATTAACATTTCATGAAAGAATTCAATTTTTTGCTTAATTCGTTATTAAAAATTTCAATAGAATTCAATTATTTTCTCAAATTTTAATAAATCCTTTGAAACAATTGAATTATATTTATAAATAGTAAAATTCTTTGCAAAAATTCAATTATATTCTTAACAATTTCACGACAGAATTCAATTTTTTTCTTAATTCGTTTTAATAAAAAAATTCATTGAAATTCAATTATTTTCTAAAATTTTATAATAAATTCTTCGAAAAAATTAAATTATATTGAATTATATTAAAAGAATTAAATTTTTTTCTTAATTCGTTATTGAAAATTAGAATTCAATTATTTTCTCAAATTTTAATAAATCCTTAAAAAAAATTCAATTATATTAATAAATAGTAAAATTCTTTGCAAAAATTCAATTATTTTCAAACAATTTTCACGAAAGAATATTCCATTTTTTTCTTAATTCGTTGTAATAAAAAATTTTATTGAAATTCAATTATTTTTTCTAAAGTTTTATAATAAATTCTTCGAAATTCGATGATTTTTAATACATTAATTTTAAAATTAAAAATATTTAAAAAGAAAAATGATTAAATAAGTTAAAAAACAAAAATGCAAACAGCAACTTAATTCAAATTACGAATAGCTTACCGAAATACAACGATTATTAATAAAGATTATTTATACAAAAAAATGGAATAGCTACACTGAAAAAAAAATTTATTTGATTTAAATTAACCAATTAATTGACTATTATAAATGTACTATTATCAATTAAATATTTGCTTTAATCAAATAATATTTATTGGAGTCAATTAAATGGTATTTGAACCAATAATTTCAGTATTTGAAGCAAATATGAATTGAACCATTTAATAAATATTATAAATAATAAATAAATATTATTTGATTCAATTAAATATTTAACTGATAATAGTCAATTAATCGGTTATTTAAATCAAATAAATTTTTTTTTCAGTGCAAGTTTTTAATATTTGTAAAAAAAACAATAATTGAATGAAATTAAAAAAATAAATAGAAATTAACTCTTTAATATGTATCAAAAATGTTATTTCAATTTATGATGAAAAATATTATGAAATTATTTCGAATAAAATTTAAGAATAAAAAAAAAATTATTTTAAAATGAAATTTATTTAAAAAATGTTCTTCTGTTGTAATAAGTAATTCTGTTTAATAGTGAATATTATTCGGAATGATTTATTTGTTTTTTCATCATTTGTGTCACTGAAACTAACAATATATCCATCTGTCGCTCAAAACTCGACACTTTATTGTTGCTGTAACATTTATAGAAGTCTCAAAGGCATTAATAAGGAAGGGAATGGAAATGCCGCAGTTTTGCTTGGACTTTTGCATGAATTACGAAAGTACAACCATCTGTATAGTCTGCGGTTTGCCACCGCTACCTACTTCTTTTATAAACCGAGATTTAATAATAACAGTAAAGGCACCGACGACAACTGTTATTAAACAGTTTCAAGATGTACAAGAAATTGCTATTTGAACAATTTTGCATTACATTAAAGTAACAAATTAATTGAATTCGACCCTTCAATAAACAAGCGTTTTTATTTTACTAATAAGTAGCAAAAAAAAAAATTTGTTTCAAATAAAAACTTATGTTATAAAAAAATATTTTTCATACTAAGAATATTTGTCTTAATAAAAATTAAGAAAAAATTAATTCTGGTTATAAAAAAAAATTTTTATTAACAAAATAAATAATTATAAAATATAAAATACATTTATAAATATGTAAATTCATATAAAAAGAAGAATATATATTCTCGCCGTTAATAAAGAAACATCCAAAGTTTATCTAGATTTTAAAATTTATCAAGTGTGTAAATTTTGATTCTCAACGGGTGGTTTTGTTTCAGGAAATTTTTTTTCTTCGTGAAGTGATTCGTATAAAATAATATAATTATCGCGCAGTTGAATTAAACGATGCCATAAATTTATGTGCGTTATTTCTTCATTTGTTGCCTGTTCTTCGTTAATAATCTGACACTGAAAAAAGTTTTTTAATATAAGAAGAAAACAAAAATATTTAACTATAAAAAATAATAAAAATATTTCACAGTAAAAAATAGTAAAAATATTTCACAGTAAAAAATAATAAAAATTTTTTTTTTATTATTATTAAAAAATAATAAAAATATTTCGCAGTAGAAAATAGTAAAAATATTTCACAGTAAAAAATAAGAGAAATATTTCACAGTAAAAAATAAGAAAAATATTTCACAGTAAAAAATAATAGAAACAATTAACAGTAAAAAATAATAAAAACAAAGTGAAAAAAAATTTAAATATTTTTCCAGTAAAAAATAATAAAAATAATATAATATACAATACAAAATTATTGAAAAAATAACAAATAATTATATTTAATAAAAAAATTAAGTTACCCTGTCGATATTTCTCATGCGAGTCACTTGAAGGCATTTGAGATGAAAATATAATTCGTAACCCCAGCAATCGATTGTTTCCGTACAACGTGTTATTTGTAGTAAATCTCGTGACAATTCTGGTACCGGCGACATTATTGATATTGCTTGAAGCCAACGTTTTAACTGTAGAATTATTTATATTTTTTGTATTTTTTAGTAATTATTACTATTTGCGGAGTAAATTTTACCGCAAGATGGTAAATTTTGCTATTTTTGAAAGCAATTTTTACTATGCCGAAGTAAATTTTGTTGTTTTCGAAAATAAATTTTAATATACTAAAGTTAATTTTGCTATTTTCGAATGTAAACTTTACTGCGCGGAAGTAAATTTTACTCAACCGAAGTAAACTTTGTTATGCTCGAAAATAAATTATACGACACTTATGCAAAATTTGCTATTATCGAAATTAAATTTTACTATACTGAAATAAATTTAGATATTTCCGAAAGTAAATTTTACCATGCTGAAGTAAAATTTACTATTTCAAAAAGTAAAATTTACTATTTCAAAAAGTAAATTTTACTATAAGAAAATTAATTTTATTATCTCCGACAATAAATTATACTACACTTGAGGAAATTTTACCATTTACGAAAATAAATTTTACTATAGCAAAGTAAATTTCGCTGTTTCTGAAAGTAATTCTTACTACACCGAAGTAAATTTTCGAACACCATAGTAAATTTTTTCTATTTACAAAAATAATTTTGACCGTGTTAAAGTAATATACTAACTATTTCCGAAAATAAATTTTGCTACAGTATAGGAAAATTTACTATACGAAAAAAACTTTACTTACACCAAAAGGAATTTTTCTACCCCAAAGTAATTTTTACTATACAGAAAAAAATTTTTCTAAACCCTTGTTAATTTCACAAGTTCGTGAGTAAAAATTTTAGTGAAAATTAGTAAAAATTTTATTTTGCCGAAATAAAAGTCAATTTGGTCTTTACTGTAAAGGATAGCAAAAGTTACAATAACCGTTCTTTCCGTGTGAATAATTAAAATTAAAAATTAAATGTGCAGAATATTTTTTTTTTTAAGGGAAGAAAATTTATGAGACTTTGTATTCACCTGTTGTGCAATGCAAATTTTGTATTCCGCGGTTATTTGTTATTTTATTTTCTTACCACAGTTGTGTCTGCAATTAGTTGCACAGCTGCCGGTCTCATGACACTTATTAGATTTCCAATCACCGAATTGTCCTTCTTGCGTGTTGTAATATAAGTTGTTAATGAACTATTCCAATCCGCTGATGGTCCACATTGTACGCTTTTTAAATGTCGTCTATTTTTTAAAAAATTTTTTATCATTTCCCTTCATGTCACACTTGAAAATTTACTTAATTTTTTTTAAACTTAATTAACTTTAATTGGTTACTAATTACGTTTAATTAATTTATTAATTAACTGTTAACAAACTATTCGGTAATTGTTAATTAATTATAGTAATTGTTAACAAATTATTAAATAATTCTCAATTAATTATTAATTGTTAACAAACTATTAAGTGATTTCCAACTAACTATTATTAATTAATTTTCAATTCCTCGTTAACAAAAGTATTAAGTTATTCTTAATTAATTTTTAATTGTTAACAAATTATTAACTAATTTCTAATTAAATATTTATAAATTGTTTACAAGCTATTATAATCAATTGTTAATTAATTATTAATAAATATTTAACAAACAATTAAGTAATTTCCAACTAATTATTATTAATTAATTTTCAATTGTTAACAAATTATTAACTAATTTCTAAAAAATTATTAATTAATTGTTTACGAGCTATTATAATCAATTGTTAATTAATTATTAATAAATAGTTAAGAAACTATTAATTAATTTTTAACTGACTGTTAACAAGCTATTAATTGATTAATAATAAGTTATAACTAATTAATAATTAATTGTTAATTAGTGTAAATAATTGGTAATTTATTATTGGTAAATTATAAACAAACTATTATGTTAGTAACTGTTAATTAATTATTAACAAAATATAAAGTGACTGATAATTAGTCATAAGTAAATAATAATTAATTGTTAACAATCGATTAAGTAACTTTTAATGAAATATTAACTAATTGTTAACAATCTTTTAAGTGATTAATAATTAGTTATTAATAATTAATTGTTAACTATTATAAGTAAGTAATAATTTATTATTTGTAAATTATAAACGATGTGTTAAGTTACTGTTAATTAATGGTTAATTAATTGTTGATTAATGGTTAATTAATTGTTGATTAATGGTTAATTAATTATTAATTAATGATTAATTAATGGTTAATCAATTATTAATTAATGGTTAATTAATGGTTAATCGATTATAAATTAATGGTTAATTAATTGTTGATTAATGGTTAATTAATGGTTAATCAATTATAAATTAATGGTTAATTAATGGTTAATTAGATGAGGTAAGATGAGGTAATTAAATTACTAAAAATTTTTATTTTAAAATTAAGAAAATTAAAATTAGAAAAATTATTTAAATTATTATTTTGAAAGTAAGGAGAATTGGTAATACTTAAAAGAAACTAAAATATAGTATGAGGAAAAAATTTGAAATTAGTTATTAAAAAAAAACTCACTGATGAAATATAGTGGACATTATTCTGTCAATGACATAGCAGGATGGACCCACAACTAACTGTTTTGTGCATGTCGAAAGTTTGGACACGAGAAAAGCCAGTAATTGACCTAGAGGTCCTGGTCGTCGACGAAGCATAGATCCTTCGAAACGTTTCAAACGGTAGATTTTTCTTTTATGAATTCCTCGCCTCGTGTGTCTTTGATCATAAGTCGACAGTGAATAATAACTCGTTACTAGATAAATAAACAGGGAAAGTGTTAAAAAAGGGAAAATTTTTTTTTTTTATTAGTAGCTTCCTCTAATGGTAGATTTAAATGGTGTAAATGTTTATTAATTATGAATTTATAATTTTTCAATAATTATTACACTACAATTTTAATTGGTATTGATTGGTAATTATTGGTATTAATTAGTCTTAACCCAAGTGCGAAATGCCAAGACTGCAAAAACGGCCCATCATTGGTGCAGTAATGTCTGCCGAGAATTGGCAGTAGTTACTGGGCCATTATTGGTAACCAAAACGTCCCATTACTGGGCCAATGATGGTGCCGATGGTCAGAATTTCAAATTTTTTAAGACTGGGCCAGCTCTCGGCCCAATAACGGCACATTCATGGCAAAGTTTATCAATGTTTAATGTCAAAAGACAATTGCCAGTGATGTGCCGACCATCGGCCCAGTAATGGCTCATTATTGGCACTTTAATGGCAAAAAATTTGTATCGTTCATGGCAAATTATAATTACCAGTATTGGGGAGTAGCTTGGCTCAGTAACGGCATAATATTGGCAAAGTTGATCAATCTTTAATGGCAAAATTCAATTGCCAGTGATGTCACGAAGATCGGCCCATTAATGGCACATTAGTGGCACTTTAATGGCAAACATTTTGTATCTTTGATGGCAAATTATAATTGCCAGTATTGGGGCGTAGCTTGGCCCAATAACGGCACGTTATTGTCAAAGTTGATCAATCTTTAATAGGAAAATTCAATTGCCAGTGATGTGACGAAGATCGGCCCATTAAAGGCACATTAATGCCATTTTAATTTGGTATAATTTTTTATAAGAATTGAAATTTAAGAAACATTCAGGTATTCAATAAATTATTTATTTTGTATTTAAATAATTGAATAAGCTTGAAAAGGATTCAAATTAAAATATTTGAAACTTTGAATTTTCTATATTTTTAACTGTCAATTTTAAAGAATTAATTTTTTTGAAAAAGTTTAATTAAGTATTAATTTAAAAAAGAAGTTATTAATGTTTTCATATAATTTTACAATTAAAGAAATTCGTAAATAAATGTTACAGAAACCTTTTTTTGAGTAAAATTTTTCCTTTATTATCTAAAAATTAAGAAATTTTCAATTTCACTTTCAATTAATATTTGCAATTGACAAATAGAATTTATAAACATTTTTTTCCTTCATTTTTTAAAAATCTTTGAATTTTTCTTAAAGCAATTGTAATTAAGAAATAGAAATGATGCAAATTATTTCCTTAAGAAAATTTATTGAATAAATGAATGTTTTTTAAAATTTAATTCTCATAATTCAATTTTAAGAAACATTTAGTTATTCAATAAATTATTTATTTTTGCATTTAAATAATTAAATTCTCGTAGAATTTTGTAGTAAAAATTGATTTCAAAATGGATTCTAGTCAAATTTTCAGATAATAATTAAATATTAAAAATATACCATGAATTATGATATTAAAATTTTTTTAAATTCAATCGCCAATGATGTGACAAAGATTGGCCCATTAAAGGCACATTAATGGCACTTTAATGGCAAAAATTTTGTATCTTTAATGGCAAAATATAATTGCCAGAATTGGGGCGTTGCTTGGCCCAATAATGGCACATTCACGACAAAGTTGATCAATCTTTAATGGTAAAAGACAACTGCCAGTGTTGTGACGAAGATCGGCTCATTATTGGCACTTTAATGGCAAAAAATTTGTATCTTTCATGGCAAATTATAATTGCCAGAATTGGGGCGTTGCTTGGCCCAATAATGACACATTCACGACAAAGTTGATCAATCTTTAATGGTAAAAGACAACTGCCAGTGATGTGACGAAGATCGGCTCATTAATGGCTCATTATTGGCACTTTAATGGCAAAAAATTTGTATCTTTCATGGCAAATTATAATTGACAGTATTGGGGCGTAGCTTGTCCCAATAACGGCACATTCACGGCAAAGTTGATCAATCTTTAATGGCAAAATTCAATTGCCAGTGATGTGACGAAGATCGGTCCATTAATGGCTCATTGTTGGCACTTTAATGGCAAACATTTTGTATCTTTGATGGCAAAATATAATTGCCAGAATTGGGATGTAGCTTGGCCCAAGAATGGCACATTAATGTCTATCATTTTGTATCTATGATGGCAAATTATAATTGCCAATATTGGGACGTAGCTCGGCCGAATAATGGCACAGTATTGGCCAGTGTAGTGTAGCTTATAAGAACCCTTTTGCTTCCTCGACTTCAAGTCAGAGTAGCAGAGTGGTCAGAGTGTTAGGCTGTGGAGCGTCAGGTTCAGGTATCGATCCCCGCGAGAGGTAAGAATTTTTCAAATATTTGTAAGTTTGCGTTTAAATTAGGGAAATAAGCCGTATAAATGTTATAAATTAATTAGTTAATTGAATAAAAAAAAATTATTTTTATTTTTTTCTAATTTTGTCAACACTGGGGGAGTAATGGCAGCCAATATTGGGCCATTAATGTCTGCTGAGATCTGGCTGCCAATAATGGGCCATTAATGTCTGCCGAGATTTGGTGCCAATATTGGGACAGTAATGTCTGCCGAGATCTGGCTGCCGACGTCCAACCGCGGTTAACACCACAAGAGTCGGCGCAAAGTCGGGCCAATATTGTCTGCCAAGTCTCGATGCCAGCTTTGCCAATACTGGGCCAGTGTTGGGCCGCGTTGGTTTTCGCACTTGGGAATCTGTATTAATTAATTAATTGGTAATAATTTGTATTTATTTGTATTTATTTGCATTTATTTGTATTTATTTGCATTTATTTGTATTTATTTGTATTTAATTACATTTATTTGCATTTATTTGTATTTATTTGCATTTATTTGCATTTATTTGTATTTATTTGTATTTATTTGCATTTATTTGCATTTATTTGTATTTATTTGTATTTATTTGTTTTTATTTGTATTTATTTGTCTAAATGCTATTAAATTTAATTGCTATGAGTCCATATTAATTGGTATTAATCAATACTAATTAATATTTATTCGAAAAAATTTGTATGAATTTGGAATTGATATATTAATTGGTATATTAATTTATACCCATTAGTATTAATTCGTTAAATAGTTTACCTGATAAAATTATTACTAATTGTCATTCATTTAAATTCATTGTTAATTTGTTTATCTTACAAAATAAGTATTAATTAATTAATTAATGTTAATTGGTATTTATTCGTATTAGTTAATATTAACTGGTATTAATTCATATTTATTGTACTTAATTAATACTTTCTTTAATCGTATTAATTAGTTTAACTGAATTTAATTCAAATTGATTGTTAATTATTGGTATTAATTCGTATTAATTCGTATTAATTGGTATTATTTGTATTATTTCGTATTAATTCGTATTAATTGGTATTATTTGTAATATTTCGTATAAATTCGTATTAATTCGTATTAATTGGTATTAAATTACTTTAAAAAAATTTGTTAATAATTTTCTTTCCGAAAAAAAAGTATAATTTATTTTGAATTAATTTGAGAATATTTACCATCGATTTCTGGTCTTGTAGTCGAATTATAATTTCCAATAGTCGATGATACTGACCCTGCTGTCGATAAGCGGGCTGTACTTCCCCTGGAAGCTCCAGATTTAATATTCGGTGGAGTGTAGGTTTCAATAATACTATTTAATTCTATAACTTTCTTTGGAAATTCATTTAAACAGTTGAGAGCCTAAAAAAGATTTTCAAATTCATTATCCTTCGCAATTTTTTACTATATTTTCGAAAAATTAAATTGAAATAATAAATCAAATATATTTATGTAAATAAAATATTTTTAAAAAATATCAATGAGATGTATTTAAATAAATACAAATAATATTTAAATTTAAGTAACATTTAAATAAAATATTTTAAAAATTATATTTAATTAAAAATAGTAAAAATAATTTTATTCGAATATTAAAAAACATTTTTATTTATTAAAAATATCTAGATACATAAATGTAGTAAATATGAAAAAAAAAATGAAAAATAGAGTGAAAGAGAATAAAAATTTGTTTTATTTTGCATTTCTAGTTATTACGTAAACGATGAGAGGAATTTATTGAAGTAAATTATGTCAGTATATAACACAAAATAGAAAATAGTAAACTTTTATGACACCTTAAATTACGTTATTAAAATTAGTGTTAAGGCCATTCAGCCGACTCTACCTTTTCGGGATGGATTTGTAAATTACATAAATTATAAGTACCGTAGACTTTATATTAACTACCAATAAATATAATTATTTTAAAAGCAATAGTTCTGTAAACACATTTATTATTATCATAAAAAAAAAATTGGGTTGAAATATATTTTTTTTTTATATTTCTTCACGATGAATCTTGTCATGTAATTGAACGTTCTTTCTGTATAGAGAATTTTATTACAATAATTATATTTTCTTTTTACCCTTGGATGAGAGGAAAAAAAATGAAATTATTAACTTAACGTTTATTTATAACCTTAATGTGTCTATATGATTTTTAAAAAATACATTTCAAGTTGTATAAAATAAGGTAAAATGGCGATAAACAAATTCTTTATGGGAATTGAAGGTATAAAATTGAAAGGTTATAATAATTCGTATAGTATAATGATTGTGTATAACGATTGTGTCTAATGATTGTGTATAATTAATTTTGTAAATTACGGTTAGATTTTATTTACGAACCTCTGTTTGCAATCTCTCAACACATGGATTATTAATTTGTACTTCAGAATTCATTTTATTATTTTCCGAATCAGCCATTATTATTCTAATTTGTGAATTACACATGAATTTTGACAATTTTTCATTTTGTCATTGCAATTTTAAAAACAGAATTATTTTTCCCCTCTCTCCTTCTCTCTCTCTCTTCTTCACTGCAAATTCAATTTACAAAATGCAAACAATCGACAGACTCGGATTTTAACCTAAATTTAAAAATTTAGTCTTGTAAAAAATTTGCAGATAAATGCTTTTAATTTTTCCTTCTATAATAATTTATTCATTGGAATTAGAATGACAGAAAAATTTCATGGCCTACGAAATAATAAATAAAATTTAAAAGGAAATTAAGATTTTTTGCTTTGAAAATAAATAATGAAAATGGAAGTTAGTGATGCGGGATAAAAAAGTGGTTAGTTTATTACGATAAGGAAATTATATTTTAATTTAATATTTATTTAATTTTAATATATAATAATAATAATAATAATAAAAACCACAGAATAAATTTTGCAGCAAAGTCAAAAAATTAATTTCACTTTGAAAAATAAATTTATAAGCAAGATAGAAAAACATAATTTTGTTTTGTAGAATAAATTTGGGAACAAAATAAAAACAATTAATTTTTTTCCTAAAAATAAATTTAGAAGCAAAAGTGACAAAATTAATTTTCTTTTGCAGAATAAATTTAGGAGCAAAATAAATAAATAATTTTCGGTCTAGGAAAAAATTTATAAACAAAATAAGAAAAATTGCGGTTATTTAAAAAAAAAATGAAAATCATAAAAATAGTTTTTCTAATCATACGTTGATTCATAATAAAATTAAATAAAAAATAAAAAATTTTCTAATCTAGAAACTGATTCAAATTAATAATTGAACTTTCAATTTTAATTCAACTATTGAATTTTCCTGTCCTCTCAAAATATAATAAATATTACGTTTCCGTCTCCAGGATTTTATTCGCGTGTAAAGGAATTATAACTAATTATGTACGTGATGCTATTCCCGGGTATATAAACGTTAAAACGACTATTATGATATAATATGTTATTTTATGATGATATAATGCAGATATTGTATAATACTAGTGTCTATATATACACATATAAATTATCAAACAAAACTCTTTCCTTTATTGCACTGATTTTTCTTTTTCTTTCTTTTTATCAATGTAGGTGGTTATGCAGGTTGAATTTAATCATACAGGTATTCAATGTATTTACAGTTATCGTCATAAACTAGTTGTAAAAGTTTTACATTGACCGAAGACTTACGATTTTACTCTGTATATAACACCCGACGACCAACAACCAAGAATATCTATTTTATGAGGATTAATTCCACCTTTAGACTCTCTTTATACTCCTGGAAGTAATCGGTTATTTCATGTCAAATAAACTTTTTTTCAGTGTATTTAATTAAATTATTATTTAGTTATTTCATTAAATAATTTAATGAAATTCAATTAATTGACATTGTGATAATTATTTGCCCAAAGTTTTGAATAAAAATCAAATAATGAAAATAATATAATTCAAATATTTCATAGAAATTATTTTCTAGTAATTTTTTTTTAGAGGAATTCAATTGTAAGAAAATATTTTTCCCCTTTTTGAATTTTTATTTTTCTTTGAAAATTGATACACTTTTAATTATAATTTTGTAATTTTGAATTTTGTCATTTTGTAGAAAACATATTTTTCTATTCACAAAAAATTTGACGAATGATAAAATTAATTTCTATTAATTTCTTTTGAATTTTTCTATTTATTATTATTTCGATAAAAAATTATGGTCTAAAATTAATTAAATAAAATAAATAAATAAAATTAAAATTCTAATTAATTATTAGAATTTAATATTAATAATAATTTTTAGCATTTTAAAGATGGTTTTACTTTTTCTAAAAAAAATTGCTTCAAAAATAGTAAAAATCAATTTTTTCATTCGGAAATTTTTTTGTGGATAGAAAAATATATTTTCACGTTGCCAAAAAAAAATCTGACTTTTTACATACCCCAAGAGTGTAAATGCACAGAATTCACTTATTTAAAAAAAAATTTAATACAATTCGTTGCAAGAATTCAATAATTTCCATATATAATAAAAATATTCTTCACAGGATTTCAATTATTAAAAAAAAAATGTAATAAAAATTCGTTGCAAGAATTCAATTATTTTCCTAAAAAATAAAATTCTTCGCAGGAGTTCAATTATTTTTAATACAATTTTAAGTAAATTCCTCGAGAAATTTAATTATTTTCAAAATTTTATTAAATTTCTTCGAAAGAAATCAATAATCAATTATCAATTATTTTTAATAATTTTTGTGAAAGTTTCTTGAGAATTATCAAATCCGTTTACAATTCAATTTTACAACATTTTGATTATTCGGAAATTATTCATTTTAATATTCATAAAATAAAAACGTCAAATAATTTTCAAAAAAATTCAATTAAACTTTTTCAAAAAAAATTGATTCTACAAAATTGTCGGTTAATAAAAATTTTTTAAAATGATTTTGATATATAGTTTTATTAATTTAGTTCTTTTCATAAATAATAAAACTCATCGCAGAATTTCAATTATTTTTAATACAATTTTAATCTAATTTCTCGAAAAAGGAAATTATTCTTAAAAATTTTATTGAAATTCGTGAAAAGAATTTTAATTACCTATTTAAAAATGTGTTGACAAAATTCTTTAAATGAGAGTTCAATTTAAAAAAAAATTCAATTCTTCAATAAATTATTCACTTTTGTATTTAAATAATTGAATTCTCATAGAATTTTCTAATAAAAATTGATTTAAAAATGTATTTTAGTTAAAATTTTAGATAATAATTAAATATGAAAATAATTTTGAAGAAGTTATAATAACAATATTTTTATAATATAAAATAATTATTTTATATTTTGAACATCTTTAATTATTATAAAAAAAACAATTTATTTAAAAAAGAAGTTATTGATAATAACTTTAGAATTTTTAATTTTTATCAATTTTTTCCTATACCAAAAATTAATTATTTTTATTTTGCTCCTAAATTTATTCTGCAAGAGAAAATAAATTTTTTCGGTTATAATTCTTATTCTCAGGAAGAAAATTAAATGTTTTTATTTTGTTCCTAAATTTATTCTATAAAATAAATTTAATTTTTTTTTGCTTTACTTTTAATTCTACAAAAGAAAATTATGTTTTTCTATTTTGCTCATAAATTTATTTTGCAAAGTGAAATTAATTTATTTACTTTGCTGAAGAATTTATTCTGCAAATAAAATTAATTTTGCTTAGCTTCTAAATTTATTCTGCAAAATTCAAGTAATTTTTTTTTTATTTTGCTTCTAAATTTATTATGCAAAGAAAAATATTAATTTCCTTTAATTTATTAGTAAAACAAAATTAATTTCTTCTATTTTGCTTCTAAATTTATTTTACAAAATTAAATTAATTTTTTTCTACTTTGCTTCTAAATTTATTCTACAAAATAAAATTAATATTTTTTTGGGTTTTCTTCAAAATTTATTCTGTAAAACAAAATATGAAAATAACTAATTAATGAAAAATTATTTTTTACACAGAAAATGAGAAATTTTTTGTTGACAAATTTCTTTATTAAAAATGATGCTTTAGAAATCTTTTTAAAAAAAGAGTTTTTAATCAAACATTTATAAAAATACGAATCGAAAAATATTTTTTCTTATAAATTTGTTGTTCGTAGAATTTTGTAAATTTTATCAAAATCGAATAAAAATTTTTTTCACTGTCACGATAGAGAAATTATTTCGCAGAATATTGAAATTTTCAATTAAGAATAAATTAAAATTAAAGGATTTAGGATTTCTAAATTATTTTTTATTAAAATAAATTCTATTTTATTACAAATAAATTATGTATTTTAAAATAAAAATGTAAATAAATTACTCTAAATTTAAATTAGCAAAAGTGTTAAATAAATTGTCAGTCACGAATTCAAATTAGTTTTGTTTACAAATTCAAGTTTAGCGAGCATTATAAAATTATAAAAAAGGAATTATTAAATTATATTCAATTATTATAATATATTTATATTTTTTACAATTACTTCAAAAAAATAACAAATTTTTCTACAAATTTTGTTCATAAAAATAATCAATAAAATAGTAAAATTAAATTAATAAAAATTCTTTTTTATATTTACACAAAAAAGTAAGTAATTTATTTTTTATTTACATTTTTATTGTAATAAAATATAATTTATTTGTAAATTTTTTAATTGAAAATTTCAATATTTAAAATAATAAAAATAATTATCTTTAAAATAATTTCTTTATCGTGACAGGAAAATAATTTTTATTTAATTTTGATAAAAATAAAAAAATTCTACGAACAACAATTTAGAAGAAAAAACATTTTTCGATTTATATTTTTATAAATGTTTGATAAAATTTTGTTTGACACTATTGAAATTTTTACATAACAATATTTTCCAACCCACGTGACAAATAAATTGTAAATTATATATTCGTAAAGCATAAATATAATGTATAATATATTGATAATCGGAAAATTTTTTACCAAGATAATCTAAAATTACAAAACTGATATTGCATTAGATTATACAAAAAGAAGAAAAATAAAAAAAAAAAATTCTGTATTGTTGTTGAGACATTAAAATACAGATTATATATTATGCCCCATAAAATTTATATCACATTATTTCTGATATAATCTAGTCTTTTATAATTCATTTTTCTTTGTTATGTATAGTCTCTGTCGGGATATTAAAGTATGAATCGACTTTATAATATTATCAAAAGTGATTGACCCATATAAATATAAATTCGATATACGTATATGTCTATATATTTGTGATTCGTGATATTTTTTTTTTATTGATATCTGACATTCCCGAAGATCTCCTTTGTAGCAATGACTCTGGAAATAAAGGTTTATTATTTCCGACAACGGATGCATTCATGAACTTTGTTTCACATAACGAGTCACGACAAAAATAAGTATTGAAATTATACTATTTTCAATGTATATAGGTATTTATA